GATCAGCCTGAATAAATTATCTTAAGTATCGTTGATTATTGAATGAGTCTGGTTTCTTCTCTCAAGCGAAAAATTTTATATTACAATACGATGTTGGAAGGAGTTGCTTATATTAATCTTCGTAAATAATTGAATTTTTTTTTTAAGAAAGATTTTTTTAACTTAAGGGCTTTATTTTGGTTGTCGTTTGGTCATTATTTTTTAAATGAAAGAAATTTATATTTTTAATTTGATTTATTAATATAAATAATTATTTTTATGTCTATACATTTTTTAAATAATTAATTCTTATAATCCCAGGTTAATGTATTGTTTTAAATTAAAGGAAATACTTCAAAAGTTTATTTAAGTGTTGAGATTTTTATCCCCTTAAAATCTCCCTTATTTTTGGGGAAAGGAACCACCGGAACGCCACCTTTGTTCCCTGAAATTTAGCTTGGGTACCTCACATATTAACATTATTAAAAGTGAAAGTATTCGGTATTGAACGTTTTTTTAAAAATCGCCAACGGTAACCCCTACCCTCGATAAGATAGAGTTAAATCATTTACCGATTCCCCATAGATTTCATGAGTTTCGGTCTCTGTTTCGTGTAATGGGATTACTTTTAAGCTCTTCTAGATTTTTGTCTTATTTTTGTTTGAAAAATTTGATGTATACCCCTTTTGGGAACCTTGTCGGGTGGGAGAAAGAAATCTCGGGCCAGCCATTCTTCATAACAAGTTTGGTTAGACGGTGACAAGTCAGGCAATATTTTTCTTTTTTATGTTCCCTTGTTTTAACGGGTCATACTTAATCACTAAGTTTATAAAATTACATCGCCAGCAACATAAAATTCATATGAATTATGTTGTGCATGGGCTAAAAAAGCTTTTAGGGGTGTTGAAACTTTCACTGAAAAATTGCGAGGATTCGACGTTTAACTGTCAAAAAGCTGAACTAGACATAGGCCATTGGGATTTTAAAAAATTCAATCCAATTTTTTCATGAACAAACTAAATTGACACATTTTGGAGATATCAAAAGTTTGCAAAACACAAAAGATGCTTCTAGTAACAAGCAAAAAGATGTTTTAAAAAAAGGATTCGTTTTAAGCACCCTTTAAAATCCTTAATATTATGTTTTATAGCGAACAGAAAATAAATATTTTTTACCTGGATAGTAATTTCCTCCTCGCCGTCCGGTGTTCCAATAAAAAATTCATACTACTTTTGGTTGTTATCAAATTCAACATTATTGCAATCGTTGGAAACCTGCATTTCTTTACTTTCAGCTTATATCAACAATGTTCAGATTTTATGTCATTTTGCCTGAGAAACATAAGAATAATACCAACAAAAACTCCTGAAATCTTTTATTCTTTTTCTCTTCTTTTTTTCGATGGCGAATTAACGACCTTATCCGTCGATTATAGGGTTCTAAACTCTTCTAAAGTTTCCAGCGGAACGACGGTCGTGTTTCAAAGTTATAATCCTCTTTGTGATCTTTTTAAAAATTCAAAGACCGGAAGGCGAAAAATATGAGCAAAAAAATCTTTAGATTTTATCAAAAATTTGTATTCAAGAGTATTTTGGGCCCCGGAAAACGAATATAAAATGTGCTTTTTTGTCAAACAAAAATATTTTAACCTGTTTTGGAAGAAGAAAAGAATCAATTTACTGACAAGTTTTGGTTATCTACTGAAATGCGTAATTATTTTGTGACCCAGCAATGTAGCAAAGTAGGCTTAAATATTTCTTTACCCAAAAAGAAAGTCTATATTTGTTTTTCGCACACTGCAAAACTCCTAAACAAGTTTTTCTCCTAATTTCTCGCCATCCCAACAGCGTTCGATGTTTGACCGAAAATCACAAAAATAGCTATAACATTGAAACTCTCAACTGATTCAAAACAAACTTAACATCATTTTAAAAAGTTAAAAACCACAAGTAATGTCACAAACGTGGTCTACGTAAAACATTTAGAACCGGAGATTTAAAAAATATATTTAAGTTTAGCGGTGATGGCAAACCGGGGTCACACTTCGGTCTCAGCCGCTCAGGTTGGGAACAGGGACTACCAACAGCTAGGTCATTTCAGCCTCAAGCCATGCAGTTTCCTGATCCAAACCCATTCACACTCTCATTAATTCTTAAATACATTCTTTCCTATTTACATACCATTCACTCAATTAGGGTGGTGGAGTATTCGATATTTCTTCAGTACCCTTTAGACCTCAATATTCCGCCATCAACCCTTGGACTATAGCGACACGCTTGCAGAGATGAACCCTTCAATTAGATAGCACACATCTGGCAGCCTTTCTCTACATGACAGGCACATACGCGGGCTTCGGCTCGAAAGGAAGAATCCGTGTGTCAACCTCGAATGGCCAATCCTTAATCGTGTGAGGATGACATTTCTTCTATGCTTCAAAACCTCCTAGGGTTAGCTCTCCACAGTGCTCTTGATACGTGAGATCTTCACTACCGACCCCGCCCACCGACGCTGCGACCTTCTTTTAATAATGTTTTTTATTGCATTTATAGTGTACGTGGGTCGTATCACAGTTAAGTCTGGAAGGTGGGACGACCCGGCCTTAGTCGCCTCGCCCTCTCCTTTGGCCAGAAAGCTAAGTAAACGTTACTAATTTTCTTCGACGTAGTAGCATTAAAAAAAGTTTCATTGAATCAGTGATTCCTCGTCCGTAGCCTTTCATGTGTTAGTCTACTCAACGTTTTTAAAATTTAAAATAAGCCTAGTCCACAAATGCCCTTTACGTTTTTAATTACTTATGCTACCATTGCCTTAGATGTCCTAAAATATTTTGTGGCGATAATTTTTAAATAATATGTAACATAAATAATATTTTGGTATTAAAATTGTATAACATAATTATTCAGAGATCGTGAGATGCGGTCTGGTGTGATGTAGGTTTCAGAAAAACATTTTCTTTATCTTGCCAATGTTTCGATCTTTATTGAGATCATCTTCAGGGCTAAAAGTGTTTGTCTTCAGTGTAATTGTGCCACTCTTGCGAGTCGTGTTGAGAGTGCCCTAACACGACACGTAAGAATGGCACAATTACACAGAAGACAAACACTTTGAGCCCTGAAGATGATCTCAATAAAGATCGAAACATTGGCACGATAAAGAAAATGTTTTTCTGAAACCTACATCACACCAGACCGCTTCTCACGATCTCTGAATAATTATCGATTAACTGTCACTAACCACCACACATTTTATAACATTATGTAATAAAAGAAATCGTTAAAGAACAATTGTTGTATTGGGCGAAAGCCCGTGCAGGTGCTCTTTAAGCAGAGAAAGGTAGCTCGATGTGACCCACGTAGTAGAAGCTTGTCATGCCTTGGCTCCATATAGAGTGCGTATGTATGGACATGCCGCCAAATACGAGAGAAGTTATCCGCCATATTAGCGGGTTTCCACATTCCCTGTTTCTCTTTTTGGAGGACGTGGAGGTTTTCATTGTGCATAGACCTGTTTTATGTGTTTTGCTTGAGTGTGTATTAGTGATGAGGGGCTGATGGTGACCATCGCTCCTCCAGCAGTGTGTTGTTTAGAGTCGATGACGGAATAGTTTTAAAAGGACCCCATTGACCCTAATTTAGATTAGATTATTGTTACTGTGTTTATGCCGATGGAGGAATATCGAGTACTCCACCGACTAATTATAATGCAACGAACATAGGTGTGAACGTATTTATTTGGCGACTGTATTATAGGAGCTAGTTAGTTTTGTTAGATTATCGTTTGCCAGTGTTGGGGGCTGAAATGACCTAACTGTCGAAAGCCCTCGTTGCTTGGGAAGCGACGATCTCTTGGGCATCTAGCTTAAAGGAATAGCAACCAACCTGCATAGGGTAGATGAACTCCCCTGACGTATATATCTTAGGGTTAGCACATTGGAGACTGTCAACCCTTCGGGGTGAAGGCCCATGTATTTTTTTTAATTTAAAACTGGATAAATCAAAATAAAGGAAAAAATAAATTTAAAAAACTTTGTTTTGAAAAGTATTGTTAATATGTTTGAAGTAAGTTTGGGATCTTTCAGCAACTTTACTTTAGGATAAATGTTATTGTAAAGGTAAAAATAATTCTATATTTCCTTTTTTTAATCATTTGTTCCAAATAATATTGGAAATAAATTACAATTAATTGAGGATTTTTAATTGAGATAAAAAAGTCAATGGCACGAGCGGGATTCGAACCCACGATCTTCGGCTTGGTACGCCGCTGCTCTACCACTTAAGCTATCGTGACCTCGATACACTCGGACACCAACTTCCCATCTCAACCCCACCTTTTGAATTTTTCCTTCTTTTTTGCCATTTTTCAATTACCATTTTCCGATTACACGATATTTGAAAAATGGCAAAAAGGAGGGAAAAATTCAAAAGGTGGGGTTGAGATGGGAAGTTGGTGTCCGAGTGGATCGAGTTCACGATAGCTCAAGTGGTAGAGCAGCGGCGTATCAAGCCGAAGATCGTGGGTTCGAATCCCGCTCGTGCCCTTGACTTTTTTATCTAAACTAAAAACCTTAATTAATTGTAATATATTAATTTGATAAGCGGACCACGAAATTAGTGCATTTATTGGAAATAAAGAAAGACGTTAGCCTAGAATGTTAATTAGCTCAGGCTATTATTTTGATTTAACCATAATTTAAATATTTGAGATAACATAGTTAAAAATTTTGTTTAATACCAAAAGGTATAAAATGCCTGATTTACTACCAAAGGATTTATTTGTTTAAAAAAAATATTACTTATATTGTTATATTTTATTTAGTACATAAATAGTTATAAACGTTAAAGGAAGTCAGCAAGTTAACGTACTGAAATAATTGATTTCTGCAACAGGGTCGATTTTGATGAGGATCAAATTGAATCGTCGCGGGAATTAATATTTGACCTTAATTTTAAGTCAATGTGCACCTCGAAATTAGGCATCCGTAATGTTTGCGTTGGTGGCGCATGCGGCTCCAAGTATTGATCTGTAGGGAGAGCTATGGCCGGTGTAGCATGTTTCACGTGCTACCTTGTATTTATTGTAACAGTTAACGGAGGCCTAGCTTCGGATTTGCGTGAAAGATTTTACAGCCAGATCCGAGATCTTCTAGAGTACAGCAGCTTTCCAAAGGTAGGCGTACTCTCTGGGGTGTTTCATAAAAAATTGACCATTGTGCCTTGATAAAACTCCTGCTTCGTTCAAGTCATTCCAACCGTTTAACCCTTCGGACTTCACACTTTAAATTCATTTTCATTTATTTTTCAAAACCATTAAATATTGGAAAAAAGGCCGTGTTAAAAATTTCAAATCAGTTTGTTTATCCAGATGGTAAATAAACTGTATCGGAAAGTAACAGCTTAGAAGGTTTCTCCAGTCGGATATTTCAATTTTATGTAATAAGCATAATAAAAATAATAAAGATAAGACTTCACTTAGGCGCAACACCAACATACCGTTGGCTCCGAAAACAAAAAGAATAATTACCAATACATTAAAATTTTACCTCAAGTGATCCTTGATAACTTGTAGATTAATAAAACATAAAAATAAATTCAAACGGTATTTCTTCGATACCTGTCTCACTTGTAGTCTCTAGACATCATTACAGAACCTTGACAAATTAAAAAAATATATATACTCTCATTTTTACAACAAATTTTGGAAAGAAATATGCGCAGTAGAGTTTATATAATTTTAAAAGTTTCATTGTTTTATTTTTAAACAACTAAAAAATATGTAAGCAATTAATGAAATAGAGAATACATATTGTTGTCGTTAACTTGCTTACATAACAATTAAAATTACACTAGAAATTTCTTCTGTTATTATGGATTAATTAAAATTCTAAGCATTACAAGCATTGTCGCATTAGGTTACATTGCACTGCAATGTTTTATCTTAAACTTACCATACATTACAGACATTAAAAGTATTGCTTTTGTCAGGAAAAAGTTATAAACTATGATAACTATAACCATAATTAATTCACTGTGGTCAAATTAGAATTTATAAATATATTCATTTTTATAAAAACTGTAATGCAGCTATCACATAGTTATTGAATGAATAAAAAAATTGAAAAATATATAAAAGTGCACAACATACAATATTTTCTCACTCTCTCCCTCTCTATCTCTCTCTTTCTCTCTGTCTGTCTGTCTCTCTCTTTCTCTCTCTCTCTTTCTCTCTCTCTCTCTCTCTCTCTCTCTCTCTCTTTCTCTCTCAATTCCTACTGATTTTTTCCAGGATGGCAAAGAACTTATACCGAAGCCTACAGAGGTCAGAAATTGGGGAACTAAGCTTGAAAGCACCGTCGGCCAAATCAGCGGAGTGTCAGTGAATTCCAAGGGTCAGCCAGTAATATTCCACAGAGGGCCACGGAAATGGGATGAAACGTAATCATTTCATTTAAACAAAAATGAAAAAAAGGTTTTCATGTTTGCAGTTATTAAACGTCCATTTCGTTTCAGGACTTTCAACAGCAGCCATTACTACCAGAAGATAAACGAAGGTCCGATTTCTGTAGACACAATTGTAACTTTGGATCCGGCCAACGGTGATATCATCAAATCATGGGGAAAAAATTTATTCTTTCTTCCACACGGGCTAACGATAGACCACAAGGACAACGTTTGGGTGACGGACGTCGCTATGCACCAAGTTTTAAAGGTACAAGAAACTCCTAAAATGTAACTCTTACGATTTCATATGTGTGTATAAGTTTAACCAAGCTTGATTTTAATATTATTAATCATTGGCTTTCATTTTGTGTGGAATGGTGCATAAAAAATAGAAAACTTACAACAATAACTGCTGAAAAACCCCTATTCTATTTAAACTTCATTCAAGCTGTGATTTTTTCAAAAAATGTTGAATCAACTGTCCAGTAAATAAGATATATTATCTCTACAATGGTAATATTCAGTATTAAAACCTCCCAGCCTTCTTGATTTATACGGTGAATAAGATTATGATAATCTCACTTCGAAGTTTTGCTATCTCCTTTTTAAGATTCTCAGAATGATCTTTTCACTCTCGACAAAACGACGACGATTTGTAGTTTTAGGTCTAAAGATTCAGTTATTTTCAGTTTCCAGCTGGAGGATCCACGCCAACGTTAAGACTAGGGGAATACTTCACACCTGGCCATGGAGAGAACCGATTTTGCAAGCCTACTTCAGTCGCGATCGCTAGAACCGGAGCTATTTTCGTCGCAGACGGTTATTGTAACAGGCGCGTTTTGAAATTCAGCCACGAAGGAGAGCTGCAGAGGATTTTTCCCCAATACGACGGTAATGTATTATTTCAAAAATAATATATTGCTCCTATTATTTATATTTGGAAACTTTCTTGAGGTCCATCATCACATAGATTTGCTCCAAATTTTGTCAAAATCATATTTTTAAATGCGTACAGCTATTTGAATTTATAGTAAAATTCTTGTTTTTACTTGGAAGTGCACATTCAGAACTGAGAAAGTAAAAATATTTGAAAACCAGGGTTTATAACAAATTTACTGAAAAAATAGGCTGTTATCAAAAAAATACGTACAAGGTCGTTACATAAGTCTGCGTGCTTGAAAATATTATATCCTCCATTTAACTAGATACATAAGTACCTTACGGGTCATATTTTTCATGAAAACTATTGTAACAATCGTAAAAGAGGGATAAATGAACTTAGCACGGATTCCATAGATTAGAATAAATATGAACTCTCAATATTGACTGACGGATATAACCTAACTCTACCTTACACAGCCTAACCTAACCTAACAGTATCACTAAACCTTCAATTTAACCTAACCGCATTCGTTCCTAACCCTACCTAACTTAATATAACAACTCCCTAACTCAACAGCACCGCTACCTAACCTAACATAACTCATCCCTAACACTAACCCTTCCTAACCTAACATAACCCGTCCCTAACCCTACCTAACCTGACCTATGTTTTGTTGTGAGTTATGTTATGCTAGGAAGGGTTAGTAAAGTAACATTAACCAACAACCCGTTCTTAACCCTACCAATAACTCTACCTACTCTAACTTAATTCGTCCATAACCCTGGAGTTATCCCTGCCTAACCTAACCCTACCTAACCTAATATAACCCGTCACTAAACTACCGCAACCCGTTCCTAACCCTAACACTCACCTACCTAACTTCACAGAACCCCTCCCTTTCCGTACCTAACCTATCATAACAAATCCGTAACCCTAACACTAACCGCCGGGTCTTTCCTATTTCCCTGTTTCTTGGCCGTAACCCTAACACTAACCCTACCTAACATCATAATCTGTCCCTAACCTAACATAACCCGCCCCTAATCTTACTTAACCTTAAAAAACAAGCCCTACCAAACCTAACTTACCCCAAGCCATTCGCACATAATTAACGCAAAAAAATCGACACTCAAAAAAATTTGTGAATCCACCCCGAAAATATAATTCTTACATTAAATGTTCCTGCAGAAATGGACTGTCAGCACATTACATCATCCTGCTTAATTACCTGAAGTCGAAACACCTAACTATTTTCATATTAATGGCTATGTTTTGATAAAGAACAAGTCTGTTAAAAGTATTTCAATCTACGATATCCATGCTATGCTAGTTGTAAAATATTATTTTGACATACTGACTGCAGAACGTGGTATAATTCTTTTAGCAAAAAACCAAGTTGATATATGCTTTCTGCACCCTAAAAATAAATCACACAAATAATGGTTAAAACAGCCTCACCGATCTGTAGGAGAAATTACTGGGCTTTACAAAAATTTAAACTTCGTAAATTAATTAAAACCGGAGATGTAAAATAAAACTTTTCAAGAGTTTGTATTGACATCATCCTTATTTATCTCACTTGTATAGCTGTAAAATCTATACGTTGTTAGTTACTCTTTCCATGTAAGGTCTTGGTTGAGATAAAAAAGTCAGTGTCACGAGCGGGACACTGACTTTTTATCTCGACCAAGACCCTGCATGGAAAGAATAATTAATTGAAAGATGTAATTTGGTCAATGGACCACTAAAACGTAAATGAGTTGTTAGTTACGTTTTGTTCCAAGACCCATTAGAAAGCACGCTCGGACACGTGCCAAAAAAGTTTCATTAAAAACCAAGATCCCGTTGTCCAAAACCCCCAGGCCATACTCAAAGCTCTTACATAGTTATTAAAACAAAAATACATTTTGTGTTACAATACGACAAATTTATTTTTCAGAGTTTTTGTCACTATTGATACCGCACAGCCTTGCATTGATTGAACGCGCTGATCTGCTCTGCGTCGCTGACCGTGAAAACATGAGAGTCGCCTGTTTCAGGGCAGAATTGAAAGACCACTCCAAGCAACCTTTGTCCCCGTTTACAATACACCAGCCGGATTTTGGCCGTGTATTTGGAATCGCAGCCAGAGGTGATGAGCAGAAACAATAAGTATAAACTTCAACTCAAACACATATTTTCCAGGTAACTTAGTCTATGCTGTAAACGGACCTACTTCTTCTCATATCCCAGTCCAAGGCTTCACAATCGATCCTCTGGCTGAACAGATCGTCGATCACTGGATGCCAATACATCAGGTAACGTAGTTCATTAATTTCCCACGAATTTTAAAGTTATCAAAAGTGGAGCGCCGTAGCCGAGTGGTCGGCTTGATAGACTTTCGGCTCCCGTGGTCGTGGGTTCGATTCCCAATGTCGCCCCTGACTCTTTTTTCACGCTACCCTTCCCTCTCCCCACCATAAAAAAGAATATACATCAATAGATCAACCATGTTCCTTGGCTGACATGCAAGGTTCATAAGGCGATTAAAAAAAGTAATCAATCCATCTGGATTAAATTTATTGAAAAATCTTTTTAACAAAGCGACAAAGTTAGGCAACGTAATCCCGTAAGTACACAGGGTGTTCGGCTACTCGTGTTACAAACTATGCCAGTAGATTCTACATTTAAAAATAAGCCATAAAGTCCTAATTAACTATGGTCCTGATCTCAACAATTTCGGAGTTATTTCACTTTTTATGATTTTTTAAGATTTCAAGACCTTGCTTTCAGATTTCAAGACGAAAAGGTTTTGGACAATTACATATCCATGTTCAATTTCCAAGATGTGATCAATATTAAACTTGTAAACGTTCGTGAAATAAGTGTTTTAGTAGCGACAACTTTGAAAAAAATTTTTTTTTCAAGATTGAAAAACACTATGTTGGAATTAAACTACTATTTTCAAACCTAGAGACCAGCAAATTTCAGAAAACGTACTCCATTTAATATATTTTTTAGTGGTGTACTTTCTTTTTTAATTACTTTTTTCAAAGATGAAGACATTGATGGAGGAAAGGAAAAAACCGTGGCTGACGGATTGTTAAGGTGGAAATTAAGAAAAAAAAACAACTTAAGGTAATTTTCGTGAAATCTTAAAAAATCATAAAAAGTGGAATAACTCCGAAACTGCTGAGATTCAGACCATAGTTAATTAGGTCTTTTTGGTTCCATTTTAAATGTAGAATGAACGGGCAAGGTTTGTAACACGAGTAGCCGAACAGCCTGTATATCCATTATTCATAATCGGTTACATACTTTGAATATCACAATCACAAGTGTTTCTCCAGTTATAATAGAGAATTGATGCTTACCAAGAATTTGTTTTGTTTTTTTTCTTTTCCGTAGATTATCACAACTCCTTGCTAATTTCGACAGCTGTACATTTCTCAGTTGACGATTTATGTTATGAATAAATTTTACAAATTTAAAAACCAGATTGACAATAAAGTTAATACGTTCATTAACGGGCGGATTAAAAATTGATAATATGTTTTGATTCTTGTTTGTCATCAGTCGCGTAACTATTCTCTTCACGGCTGGTTGCCAGTAGCGAAGATTACAAGAGCAAGGCCTCAAGGGCTTACACGTTAATAAATCTTTTTGAAACTGATTTACGCCCTGGGGGGCGTTAAATTCCAACTCGTGGTATTGGAAGCCGACTGGGAATTGTTTCCATTAAAACTTCTACCGTCAGGTTGCAGAGTCGATGCCGTACAAGTCAATTTTTACATCAGACATATTTAATTATCAGTTATATGTTCATAATAAGATATTTTAATTTTAGAATAATTTTTTACATGTTTAATTTTAAGAGGTCTTCTTGATGATTATCCTGTACCATGGTTTCTGGTCATTAAGAACTGCATAACCTCACTGTTTTGGTATTTTAGGAGCGTTTTATGTCCTCACCGTCCTCAGTGGTGAGCATTTGACGCAGGAGAATGAGGATGCATCAGAAGGTAAAAAACATTGGAAGTGAAGATGCATATGGAGCTAAAAACATTGTAAATGAGGATGTATCGGAAGCTAGAAACTTTGAAAATGAGGACGTATTGGATGCTCGAAAACTCAGAAAGCAAAGATGCATAGGAAGCGAGAAAACATTGGACGTAAGGATGCACAGGGAACTAGAAAATTTTGAAAGCGAGGATGTATCGGAAGCTTGAAAACTCAAAAAGCAAAGGTGCATAGGAAGGTAGAAAACTCTGGAAGGAGGATGCATAAGAAGCTAGTAAACTTTGAAAGCGAGGATGCTAGAAAACAATGGAAGCGAGGATGGATCGAAAGCTTGAAAACTCAGAATGCAAGGATGCATAGGAAGCTAGAGAGCTTTGGAACGAGGATGCATAAAAGGCTAGAAAACTTTGGAGGCGCGGATGCATCAGAAGCTAAAAAACATTGTAAGTGAGGATGTATCTGAAGCTAGAAAACTTTAAAAATGAGGATGTATTGGATGCTCGAAAACTCAGAAAGCAAAGATGCATAGGAAGCGAGAAAACATTGGACGTAAGGATGCACAGGGAACTAGAAAATTTTGAAAGTATCGGAAGCATGAAAACTCAAAAAGCAAAGGTGCATAGGAAGGTAGAAAACTATGGAAGGAGGATGCATAAGAAGCTAGTAAACTTTAAAAGCGAGGATGCATAGGATGCTAGAAAACAATGGAAGCGAGGATGGATCGGAAGCTTCAAAACTCAAAAAGCACAGGTGCATAGGAAGATAGAAAACTCTGGAAGGAGGATGCATAAGAAGCTTGTAAACATTAAAAGCGAGGATGCATAGGATGATAGAAAACAATGGAAGCGAGGATGGATCGGAAGTTTCAAAACTCAAAAAGCACAGGTGCATAGGAAGATAGAAAACTCTGGAAGGAGGATGCATAAGAAGCTAGTAAACATTAAAAGCGAGGATGCATAGGATGATAGAAAACAATGGAAGCGAGGATGGATCGGAAGGTTGAAAACTCAGAATGCAAGGATGCATAGGAAGATAGAAAACTCTGGAAGGAGGATGCATAAGAAGTTAGTAAACTTTGAAAGTGAGGAAGCATAAAAGGCTAGAAAACTTTGGAGGCGCGGATGTTTAGGAAGCAAGAAAACATTGAAAGTGAGGATGCGTAGCAAAGTAGAAAACATTATTGGCTTTGGGTGCTGACAAATGATGAGCATCTCTCTTGGCTTTTCTTTGATGATGATAATGAGAATACATCTTTTAAGAAGTAGGAGGTTATTGGCTGTTATTCCCACAATGTTTTCTTTGGCTATGTTTGCATCCCAGTTTATGTCTCCATTGAGCGGTTGCTTCGCTTTCAAAGAGAATTTGCGTGACAGTGTCTTTCTCGTCATAACATAACACCCTTTGACATGATATTTAATCTAGATATACTGAAAGTAAATTTAAATTTATGACCTGGCTACCATGAAATTAGGTTATGTTTTCCCAGGACAAGAAGATCATTTTACATGGGCTTTTGAGATTTCCCATGATTTGAAATGGGCTTGATTGCTCAGATTTTGTTTTCTTTTACCTGACTTCGAAATTATATGTATACCACTTATACACGTATACTACACAATTATATTTGTTTTTTGTAGTCTGTTAAAATTCTGTAGGTTGTTTCTTGGGTCATATAGTAAAGTAATTCCTGTTGGAGCAGTTTAACATCCAACTGCTCGTCGGGAGTCAAACCTTGATATTTCTTATTTTGTTTATATTATTCTCAATAAAAAAAAGTATGAGCTATGCCGGGATCCGAACTCAGAACCGCTAGGGTGACAAATACCCTAAACTCTCGGCCACAGAAAGTCATACACATAGTTACCATTTCCAAGAATGGGTGTTAGCTATTGCAACATTTTATTTAACATTTATGTTTTTGACTATCAAGCACATGTTATTAAGATTGTTTTATGCACTTTAATTGATATTGTCTTTTATTTTTTCAGACGTTCACAAATCCGCATGACATAGCGATTTCCCCGCTCGGTGATGCCCTATACATTTCTGAAATCGAACCGCACAAACTGTGGAAATTCAGTTTTGGCCGCAACACCAATATTTAGTTGAGAAGCATCGAACCACACCCAACGTAAAAAATACATAATAATACCCTCATAAAAAATATATGTACTATCAGTTAAATAAAAGTAAAAGTACACACACACATATATACATATAAACCTGGTTTATTTTGAATTATTTTAGTTGTAAAAACATAACGTATAGCATCGATGTTATATTTATTGCAAATTCTATATTTAGATAGAATTCAGTTGAAAGAGCACAGGTTTTATAATTGTTATTTAAACATTTATATACATATTACTATATACACATATATAAAATTTATATATTTTTTATAATTTTGCCTACATGTTTTATTTGAATAAAAATTGGACAAATCGCTTATAGAAAAAGTAATGTAACAATAGTTGTTATTTGAATTACTTTCTTCTTCGAACTGTGACAGATGCCACCTGCACAACATGTTTCATTCCATCTCGGCATAGAACCAAATAAATACATGCAAGCATTACGCCCATCATTTGATCACTGCCCATTTATAAATCAAATCGGATTAACCCTTGGACACGATACAAAATAGAACATTGGAATATTTTTGGGTTGATGTTTTGGGATCAGGGACGTGATCCAGGAATGATGCACCACCGCCGAGTTTTCTGCATTTATTTATGCCTTCCTCAGGGCTGTAAATTTATAAACCGTAATCAATATATATAATAATAATTAGACTTAAAATAGATCCCATTTTCAATTTTTACTTACTAGGTGCTAGGTCAGCTGTATATTTATGTAGGTACCCATTCAAATCCCTGAGATCCCGTCACTTGATCTTTGAAATTTTGCGCCTCAAGAAAACAAACCTCTATCTCAGAAAGCAAGAATGTAAAATAATTGGGCTTTATACTGGCCACGGGCAGTTTAATTACGAACTCAAAAAAATTGGGGCAAACAGAGACAGAGGTCTGCAAATTATGTCATGAAACGGCAGAGACATGTCCTTTGTAACTAGAAAACCTGGAAACTGAACAACCTTGGAAAGGTCGTATTAAAACCTAAACAAATAAGCGAAGAATCCAAGAAAAGTGCTGTACAGCCTTTTGTAAGTTAGGAAATAAAGATAAGTCAATTCCACAATAGATCTTTTAGTTCGTAATGGAAGAAAGGTCGACTTTAGTCAGCTGTGACCCCGAAAAATAAAACTGTTTATCATCCTGATACAGGTTTTATGCATTTCTAAGGGGTTCTGATTTATATTTTGTCCAAACAGTTTTTCCATTAACCCTGTATGAGTCACGTATATGTGCAGGTGAATCAATGCATAAGCTGGGATGTGAGGAAAGGTTACTTTGGCAAGTGGAAAATTATGGATTAAAAGTAAAGAACGTTGACAATGGTTCTGAAGACTTTAGATTCGAAAGACTATCTAGTCCCACAGTTCTAATCCGTATGTCCAAATCTGTTTCAGTAGTTTTGTAAAGTGTTAGTCTGTTTTTTCTATAAGTTGGATTTTCATGAGATTAATGTGTATAGTATTCCAAAGATTGTCTTTTTATTCATTAGACCTGAGTTGTTATCCAAGGTAGTGTACATAGTCAGAGGAATATTTGGTTGCTTAATAATACAGAACGTGCCTGGAGTTCATCCGAAGCGGGTTCAGGATAAAAGGACGCGCAGCTGTGTCGTTTACAAAGGAAGAAAGGAGGGTAAGGTGTAGTCGGTTAATCAGAGAGAGGTGCAAGATTGGTGAGAGAACTCCCATTCCCAGAAGGCCTTCTGAGTAGTCCGATCCTTGGCCAACGAAGAAAAATCGTAAGTAAAACCGAAAGACTAGGTATGTGATTTAAGAAGAGGATGTGCGGTTCACATCGCAAAGCACCTGGGTTTGGGAACGCCGGGGGCAATAGCCAAACTGATCCAAGAGAAGGTTGTGATAGTTTAGTGTCAAGATCAATCTTTTGATCAGGATCTTCTCAAATATTTTTGAAAAGAGAGATTGGTTGATTGTACGGTTGAAAGAAAATTTATGGACGAGCTTGCTGGGTTTTGAGAATGATATTTAAATATTTCCAGGGCAAATGGAAGTGCTCCTCGTTTTTCACTAATTGGTTTAAATTTGTAGATATTATAGATCCAATAATCCTAAAAAAAAACAGGTAGTGTTGTAATTCTACGTAAGCCTAAATTAACGCAGTGACAATCTAGAATATAGCTTATTTTTCTCACCGTTTTTTTCTTTTTTTTTTCAATTAATACTTTGAGTTCAGCAATGATCATTTGTTCTGCTATTTTATTTGTATCTGATTTTCGATCGACAAAGATGTCAAAGGTGCCTAGCGGACAAACGTAATTGCCACCTTACAGAATTGCATTAATTTAATGACTAATGTAACACTAGAGTTTGACGAAGATTCTTTCATATTTCGGAAAATGTTAATAAATATATAATTGTCTCTTTTGTAGTAAATCAACCACATTTGTATGTTATTCACTACCAAAAACGAAGGAAGAACAAATAGCAGATAAAAACGTGTAGCAAACGTGAATAAGTAAAGAGGATCTAAGGTGCACTTCCTTTTACAGGTACCTCTGAGAAATGCAAATTACCCTGAAAAAAAAACAGCTCAAATCTCGATACCACAGTACATACAAGTATAAGTATTTACTTATCAAATATGAGCTGAAAAGACAAAAGGTAAGTTTCAATCTGTCGATACATTTGTTTTCTGCTAAGCGGGATTTTTGCTTTCCTGTAGATATGTGGAAAGTGTAGCCTAGTGCAAAAGGAGAAATTGTTTTCAATAGGAATTCGTTCACCCTTCTGATTTATTTTATGTTCTGGCTAGGATACGTTTCATTTGATCTTTTACTTTTAACGTGGATATGTTTTTCCTTTTCCCTCCTTCGCAATAAAAGTAATATCCACTTCGTTTCCCTTTTCGCGTTTTCACTATGTTTATTACTTTATTTCTCTTTCCTTTTATTGTCATGAGCAAACAAGGGTTATTAAGAAAAGAAGGTTATGTTAAGATTAGGTTTTATTGTATATTTAAAACAAAAATTGGCTTTTTAATTTACCCTCTTCCATGGTTGGTACAAAAAGTAAGGTGTAAAAATTTTAATTAAAAATCTACGGTTAGGGTGAGAATAGGTTAGGGCAAGGGACGAATTATGTCTGGTTAGGTGAATTAGGGTTATTAAAAAAAGGAGGGTTATGTTAGGTTAAGGTTAGGGTTTATATTTTTATTTAAAACAAATGGCAAAAACTCACGTGGTAGGTACGAAAATTAAAATTTTTTTGTTTAAAAAATTCGGTTCAAAACGTCGGTTGGGTAGGGTTGGGTCACGTTGGATTATGGTTAGGATTGGGGTTAAGGTTTATTTGTACTAGAACTGACGTTCTAGTTTAACTATTACGTAGTTAGTATAAAAGGTATAGGTTTTGATGTTTAAAAAATTTAGTTGAAAACTTTGGTTGGGTAAGTTTAGAGTTACAATTAGAGTTAGGGAAGGATTGATTAGAGTAAGGTTAGTGTTAGGGTAGGAATGGTTAGGGTTTATATATTATTTGAAACAAAACCTGACATTTGAGTTATGGTCAGGATTAGAATTTTTTTATTTGAATCTAAAATTGACATTACGTTTTATTCACTCATGTTTTTGACATAAAAAGTAAAGGTTTTGACGTTAAAAAGTTCAAAACTTAGGTTGGGTAGGGTTAGGATTAAGGATTGGTTAGAGTTATGGTTAGGATTAGGATTAGGCTTTATTTTTTATTTGAAACTACAACTGAGATTATAATTTAACCACCCACGTTGTACAATAGGTTAAGGTTTTCATGGTAAAAAAGTCAGTTCAATACCCGCGTTAGGTATAAATTGAGTTGGGATTAGCAACATGTTAGGTCGAGTATGGTTAGGGCTAACCGGTTTAGGGTTGTTTATGATTGGGTTATAATTAGGAACGAATTAGGTTAGGTAGGGGTAAAAGAAAAGATGTTTACGTTAAGATTAGGATTACAATGGAGTTAGTTTAGGCAGAATTAGGTAAGATAGGATTTGATTAGGTATAGTTTGAGTCAGGGACGGGTAAGGGTTAGGTTTAAGTATGGATTATGGTTAGAGTTAGGATTATTATTAGGGTTTATTTTTTATTTGAAACAAAAGGTAAGATTATAATTTAATTACTCACGTGACTGGTACAAAAAGTAAAAAAGTATTGTCGTTTAAAAATTCAAAACCTAGATTGGGTAGGGTTAGGATAAAGTTTGTTTAGAGTTATTTTATTTGAAACTAAATCTAACATTTTAATTTAATCACTTACGTTGTTAGTGCAAAAAGCAATGGTGATATTAAAAATTCAGTTCAAAACCTAGGTTGAGTAAGCGGTAGAATTTGAGTAAGGATTTGGGTCCAAATCTTCAAAGCGTGGGAAAACCTTGACAAACTGACAATATCTCGAGTGCCAGGACACAAAGGAATTTTGGGTGATGAACTAACATACTGGTGAAAAGTGGATCTGCAAGACCATTTATGCGCTCAGAGCTATTGGGATAACAAGATCAAGCATTATCTCCTACTTTTCCCAAAGGGTCCTTAGCAAATAAAAGGAAAATAAGAAGGAAATAGAGAACTCAAGATATGCCATGCAGATAATTAAAAACCATCAGCAAACACATTGCTTCAGCTAAACGGGGTCAACCTAAGAGGAGTGATAGGGTCATTTGAGAAAACACCTACACAACATGGCATTCGATGATCCCCCCCCCATGTAGGTTATGTAATGATGAAGAAGAAACTGTTGGAATTATTGGACCTCAATAGAGATCCAGGTTACCAAGATGAATCGGGAAAAAGAAATGAAGCATTGACAATCAATGACCTACGACTTCTTAATATAAGGATCGAGTCAATGGAACTTGGAAAAGTACAAATAAGCCTGAAGGCTGCACTGCTTGGGTGTAATAATGTATATTGTATATTGCCATTTACTTGTTTCTTCTTGATTAAATTTCTGCAAATTATTCTTTTTGAAGAGTGGATGTTTTAAAAAAATAAACAAAAAATCGCCACTAAATTTATTGATTGTATATTTCAATAAAATATGTTGATAGTTTTCATCTATTCCCCTCCGACGTCTCTGGAGAAGTTAACGATTTAACAACAGGTAAAACAGTTAATTACAACGTGACGATTTACGTCGCGTCGATTGTTCTAGTTATAGGAAGTGATCTCGTCTGGATAGGGGGTGTCCACGTACGCTCCGGCTGAGTCCAGATGTACCCGGTATTCGTCATCGAACAATAAGCGCTGTAGTACCGCCCTTCGCTCCTGCAGAACGACCACATCGGACACTTGCACTTGAACTGGTTCTGAAATTCTTCCTTGCAGATCTCATTCCACCAGCAGGTCCTCTATGGAAAAAAACACAGCAGCATGACCTGTTTTAAGAAAGAACCTCTAATGTGACTGAAAACCTTTTCCACATATAAACCTTCAAACGAAACTTAATAAAAGGAAAATAAACACGTTTTTGTTAACCATCTGAACATTGCAGTATACTTAACTAAAAGGAACTCATCATCAGACAATTTTAATACTCAAAACAGGCAATCAATGAGTTAATGTATACCTATGTTTCCTTCATCAATCGTGCTAATTTTTAAATTTATGAATCAAATATTAACAATTTTGTCACTTAATTAACTAGAATATTTACCTCTGTTAAATATCCTTTAACGGACTGATCGTTGATGGCCGGCATAGAAATGCAATAAGGTATGCACATCCATAACAATATCAACTCATAACCGGCAGCCTTAAAAAAACAACATAATAATTAAAAAAGAATCAAACTTTTATAGTGAAGTCTATTGTACGATTTAAATTTTATTCCAATCTTTATGCTAATTCTTCTTGATATCATGGCTAGTGCAATTTTTAAGAAAATTTTTAATAATGTTTATACTTACAAATTTTAACATAGCAAAACCAACACCACGGCTGTGGCCCAGGTGGAAAAATCAACGCGTCCCAATACCCTCCAAATTATTTATGTCGTCAATGCCTAGGATTGGAATGACATTTCAAACGGGTCGTTTATAATTTTTGACCTAGGTTCCGAGTCCTTGTTGAAAGAGAGGGCGAGGCTGCAATGTTGTCATAGCTACTCACGATATGGATCTACTCAGTCTGGCTAACCTTCGCTGTTTTGTACCCTATTACTGCGCAATCAAACAACACCCCTTGTACCAATACAATATACAATTTTTCCTTCCCTAATTCTTTCATTTTACAAATTACAAGAACATTTGCGATAGTGACGATTAATACACTTAAAAAGGATATGTGGATTTTGACAGTCAATTTTCAAAACAGACACACTGTCTTTTAAAAGTGACAAAATATTTTGTAAACAGTTAAACAGCAAGACGCGTGCGCAAGCAAAACGTGAAATGCCAACCCTAAACTAGTTTGGAATAGTCTAAATACTCCTAACACAACTGGGCTCCACAAATAGTGGGTTCAGGTCACAAGTCACAGGCACCATAGTTAAAAACGCATAAGCACAAATCATCTTTGTGGTATAAACAAAAGCCAAATTAATTTTTTAAAAACTTTGAGTTACTAGTCTTACAGGCCATCACTGGCGACTATGTCAAGAGGAAAATCAGATTTAATAAGAACTTTAGAGGGGCGTCGGTGGCCGCAACGGTTTAGGCGTTGACACGGAGCTCATCACTGTAAGCTAATGGTCCCGGGTTCGAATCCAGCGGTCCTCCATTCGAACCCGACATATTTACAAATAGGCTTTTTTTCAAAAAAACAAAAACACCGACACCCTAAGTGTTGCGAACCCTCGTTAAAAAAAATACCCAGTAGAACATACTAGGAAGAAGCATCTTTTATGCTGACTATATATGTTATAGATTATTTCAAGTCTATCATGGAAAACCTTGGGCAATATGCCACTCTATTTCATGGAGAAACCGTGGCTGTTGAACTCCCTGGAAGATTAAAAAGGCATGGCATTAACAAAAAATGAATACCCATTTACTCAAACAGCAGGGACTAAAGGCAACTCCTCAGTATTGAAGCCTAGTTTGGGATTGCATCATGAGCCTGTCAGACATTGGGTACAACAACAAAGTTACTCTCGTATTGATACCAGGGCATACAGTTAGAGAGGGATAAACTCAGAGGAGTGATAGGACTATTTACCGGTCACTGGCATCTGAGAAAACATCTACAAGATGGGCATATTCAATGATGATCCCATTTGTAGATTATGCAATGAGAAGGAAGAACCAGCCACCCATATCATTTGCAAATGTGAAGCAACCGCTCATTGTAAATATAACCTGTGATACAAATAAAACCCAGAGAAACGAATTGTGGCAACGACAGTCAATGACTAGTCTCCTTAAAAGAAGGATCGAATACATAGACTGAAACAAGGCACTAGTAAAGTACAATACGCCAGAAGGCAGCAGTGCTTGAGGAACATAAAACCCCACTTCCTAGACTACTTTCTTCATCATCATCATCATACCAGAGCATACAGGGCGTAGGAGCAACGAGGAGGCCGATAAATTGGCCAAGGAAAGGACGCCTATCGGCCTAAACCCTTAACCCCCCCCCCCTGTATACATTGCCAAAAACGTACATCCATCAGAGAATAGGATAAGAAGAATAAGTTCTGTTCAATGTGAATGTATTTCAAGTCAGAAGAAAAAAGTTCACTAACGGACCTAGAACTTCTTAGGTAGAATGATAGTTGGAATGCAGACTTTAAAGGCATATGAATAGACCCGGACCAGCAGACAAACGTGTGCAAATATTGCCAGGAAGAAAAAAAAAGAGCGGAGAATATATCCTGTGTTGTTGGAAAGGTACTCCTGCGAAAGAAAAATCGGGGCATAAAGGTTATACACGAGAGCGCATAATAAAACTTTGGGATCTGGTAAAAGCCTTAAGCTTAACGAAGAGCTCTAAATAATTATGGAGATTCCACAATATGCCAATATTACACCGCCGACCATCCGGATTTAGACGTCATCATTCCACTGTTCAACAAAGCCATCATGTTCTGGAAGAAAGAATGCTGCCCGAGGGCCGACAGTGACCAACTGCCGAGTGCAAACTCAACTCAACTGTTGACTACTAACTGCCGACTGATCAGTTACCTTCTGGTAGCATGCACCTTTTTGCAAACCTCCCCAAAGGACTCTACGTGGGGCTTTCTTCCCAGTGGCAACTACTACCATCTGGCCTCACCATTTTCCATTTCTTGAGCTATTCTTTCAGTGGGATTCTCGAGCGTCCACAGAAGAGATAAATGTGTTGCTTCGACTTTTACTTATACACTGACCAGTGGCCAAATTAAAGTGTAAATGACTAGTGACCAATTGGCAAGTGCCAACTCATCACAATTACTGACTTGCTGACTACTAACTAAAACATTAAGAACAGGCTTTTTTCGGGGTTTTTTCGGTTGATTGAGACTTGAAAACAAAATTGATTTTCAGTTGGGCGCGCGCGGGTTTGGCCGGAAAATGACGTCACGGAAAATAATTGGCGTTTTTTATTGAGACCTGATGATCGGAAGGTTGATTGAGCGCTGTCAATTTAAGGAAAACCTCCAGTTCCCTTCCTTTTTTGTTAGCAATTGTAGAACGTAAATTAAAGCTTTATTTGGACGCTTTTTAGTTGTTCGGAGTAGATCCATTATGTTGCCTTCGTTAATTGATAATGAGAGCTTTACGTCTGGCCCGGCGCAAACCTCTTATATGTGGGATTATTCTAAAAGCTGAATGTCGATATTTAATGCAACACCGGAAATAATATAATAGTTGTTTATGACCCTTTCTCGTGTTTAGATTAGTTTTAATTACAGAATAAAGCAATAATATCGGCCAGAATGGCTACGAACAGACTCGTAGAATGGGTCAACGCGCTTATCACACGATTCGAAGAACAGGTAAATCCAAAAATATGTTTTTTAACGCCGATCCATGAGGAGGATGGCATTTCATTAAATCCTTGTTTGTGCAGCTTCCGTGTCGTGCTGGACCCCAAACGACTCATTCAAGGATAAACGAAGAACAAAATCAAATTTGCCTTATAGAAATTAGTCGCTATAAATTCTCATTAGTTATCTCAGGGCTAACTAAAATTTTACAACGCGTCAATGAGAGTGTAAGTATGTTAATTGTTACATTTTAACCTCTGAATTGCCATTTTAATTCGTTAAAATTGTCTTTTTCCCCTTCCAATTATTTTAAAAATTAAGCAATAGCTCCATCATCCTTACTCTAGACAGGGTTGAAATCTGGGCATTGCGATATAGGCAGCACAGTTCAAAAATATCAGTCCAAAAACTCATTTTTAATATTAATCTTCGGTGTTTTGGTGACATTTCTCCATTATGTTTTCAGGATTATGAACCAGTAATTTGGTCATATCCAGTCATTTTGGTCTGCTTGCCCTCGTTGGTTTCGTCTGTCATGGCGTCAATCTTAACAGACCAGCCCAGCAATGACCAGAATTATTCTGAAATACCATCTCAGCAAGGATAAGCAAACCAATATGATCAGTACCAGCAATATTCAGTGTTATTGTTATTGGTTTGATTATAATGTCTTTTTTTATCCATAACAACCCAATTAAGTGTTTTCGTTGGCATATGGTTAGTTTGGAGATTCCCTATTGATTGATCTTTTCTGGTTATTTTCACCTGCCTATCCTCACTGGTTTGGTCTGTCATGTCTTACATCTGAAAGCCCAATCCTGTGAATATAGACATATTAAAATGATCAGTAACATCAAAATTCAGTGTCTTCGTTGGTGTGTAGTTAGTTTTGTGATGCCCCAATATTTTATTTATTTTTTGTCTTTGCATTTCCTGCAATTAGCACGGTGCATCTTCCCGTATAACTATATCATAAATATATATTTGTATATACACATACATATTGATACAAAAACAGTAAATTCATAACTACCAATATGTAATGATAAAACAAATAGATACATAAATAAACATACAAATAAATAAATTAAATAAATATATAAGTAATGAACATACATAAATTACACTTTCACTCCAGCAGAACGAATAAATTGTAATATTACTGTACATATTTTGAAGGTGCTAATGTAATTCCCTATGATGAACTTTATTTTGGTCTTCATCGATTATTTTCACCTGCTTATCCTTGCTGATTTGGTCTGCCATATCTTCTCTCTGAAAGCCTAACCCAGCGTAGACCAAATTGATCAGTAATGTCATAATTTAGTGTGTTTGTTGGCATATGGTTAGTTTTGTGATTTCCTGTTGAGATCTGGGTCGTGATCAACATTTATTTTGGTCTTTTTCAATCATTTTCACCTGCTTATCCTCACTGGCTTGGTCTTTTAGATGCATTTCAGCATTTCTCCTTCTTCGGAGGTAGGTCAGAGCTATAAAAACAGAGACGATACAATTTTTTCTGATTCATTTATTTGAATTTTGTCAATATCGAATGACCTACTGATGAAATAGTCGAGCCAATATGCATCTGATGGACCAAACATCATCATGCAGATCAAAATGTTCAAAAATTAGTAAGCTATAAAATACAGTCAGTTAATTAAGGTTTCTAGTTGAGATAAAAACCTTAATTAATTGAAAGATATTAATTGGTCAAGCGGACCACGAAACTAGTGAATTTAATATGGTCATGTTGAATCCTAAATTTCCTCTATTTTGAACACAAACTCTGTTTACCCAAGGCCGCTTCTAAAATATTCTCGATGTTGGGTGGCAATTCTCTCCCAGGTAAAAGTCCTTAAAATCCAACTACTAATTAGATAACTCACTTTCAATTCGGAAGGCACAGTTTTGTGCAAATGATTATGTAGTTAAATCTACTTACAAGTATAAATTAGTTTAGAAAAATCAATACTGATAAGCAGATACTGAGAGATTTAATTGAATCAGATTCCCATCATACCTGCTCCATGATATCTTCATAACTTCAAATATATCTGAATCAACCATTTGTATCAAATAAAAAAAGTAAACAACTTAAATGACGTCTGCACAAATTAACTGACGACAATACGCTTGTCCTTTTATTTACATTTTCCTTAGCTTCTCACAAAAAATCAGGTACATTTTGTTGGACTTGTGTTTAAAAATTGGTCTTGTACTTTTAGAAATTGTAATTTTAGCAGTTAAGAGTTAAGAGCCTATTTAAGGTCCTAAGTCTGAACTCCATTGAAAATGAGAGCTCTCTGCAAATAACCTCAAGCAGAATAATTTTTAAAACTGTGAAAGTCAAAATAGAGTAGACTCTTTTTAAGACTTCCAAAGATTTTTTTTCACTTCTTGATGAGCGAGGATTGAAGCCCATAGAGTTCATTTCAATGAATAAAACATTACTTTCATGACATCATCAATGTTTAATATTTCATAAGCAGAGCTCTTTAATGAATGATATGTGAAACAGAAAAATACCTATTTTGTTAGATGACGTATTAAATGTAAAATTTTCATATATGCACTTTAACATTGTTTTTGTTTAATTTGCAGTATGTAACAGCCATTTCAAAACCTCATGAAAAAGACTTTGAGCGGAATTGTTATGAATCCCTGCTCATAGTTTTAGATACTCTCGAACAATGTCTTTCCTTTTTGCCAAAAGATACGACACGCTTTGATGAAGCAATGAATGTAAAATTACTGTTGAGAGAACTCTGTCAGTTTTTAGGCATGTTCAATAATTTTACAAAATAATTTCAAGTAAGATTTTGTTTTATCTTTGTATAATAATAATGATATTTCAGATCCTAGCGATAATCCTCATGCAATGCAATTGAAAACATTAGCAACTAAAGTTTTATTTGCATTAAGTCTAAACTTCTTTAATGCTGTTTTTAAAAGAATTTCAGCAAGGTGAGTTCTACTTACTTATTTTTAATATATTATTTGTATGTAATTAACTTTTTTTGCCAGGCTTCAAGAACTAAGTGCCTGCAATGAAGAAAATCCTGATTACACTGATATCGAATTGATTCAATATATCAATGTTGATGTAGTAAAACTCACCCAGCTCTTAAATGGTTTGTTGCAAACTACTTCTAGTACTCCTACCACCATTATTATTACTACTACCACTTCTACTATTACTACTACTTGCACCTTAATAAATAATTTCCAACTGTTCATCACATTTTGTTTTATTTTCCCTCATTCTTTTTGTTTTTTCTATCCCCACGTCTAATTCCAAGCAATGGCTAACACAAAATTATAATTTTTTTTAATATATATATTAAAATTGTCAGTAAAGTTTTTTAATTTTTAGACGATTTCAATGAATACGTCAAAATTGAACAATGTATTTATTTTATTTTTGTACTCTCATTTCTTATTATTTATTACATACAATTTCATACCATCCTATCATTTCTATTAAAACATTTTTTATTTTATGTATTTGGTTATAAACAAAATGTACTAGTAATTATTGATGTATGTAGGGTATTAATTGTTGATGTAGTAGGGTTCATTTTCATATTTTCTAATTAAGGCTAACTTTAATTAATAATGGATAGAATTTTACTTGATATTTAAAAAAATGTGTAAAGTACAAATGAGTCATAATTTTGTTATACGATCGCTGTAACAATTTGACAACAATTGGACTAAGGTTGAACAAGTAAAGTTTGTACATTTTATAGCGAAAACTTGCACAATTTTTGCCTCAAGATTAAATCAAAAGTGAAGATTAAAAAATATAGATTTGTTTCTTATTCTAATATAGTTTTACAAATTTTTTTTACTTATTATTTTTATACAAAGTATGGTTGAGTTGAAATATTAGTGTCTTGAGGTGGACTCGAACAAACAACATCCGGATCAGTGGGTTTGAGTCCTGCTCCACTAATTCGTCAACTCAACCATAAAAAATCATAAATAAATTAAACTTATTACTTTGGTTAATAGGACAAACTAAAAACATATTTAATTTTTTTGTGTGTGTATGTATATAAATATATATACACAAATTATTTTGTGTATAGTTTTTAAGAAAAAAATAATAATTTGCACTATATTTTTTCTTTATTTACAAAGTGGAAGGACATGATTGTTGAACTCTTAGAACTATATTATCATCATAGTAGCCCTTTCAAATTTGGAACTGATCTCTGGTCAGAAGAGATTAATTGTCTATATGTGGTAACTTAATTCAAAATTGATGGTAGTCTTTACCAAGGTTTCAAATTAATTCATTCATTTTGAATAATAAATATATTCATAGTATTTATTAAGTGAACAAGGTTGTAATACAATTCGATCTACAGAAATTTTCTGTTCCAATTTGAATAATTTTAATTAGTTTTTTTAACAAGAAATAAAATAAATTTAAATATTCATTTAATTTCTCTTGATGTAGGTGTACTACTATAAAGCCTTAAATGCATATTCTCATAAGAATCACTTGTATTTATAGTTATTTATCCGGTAGAGATGTATGTAAATCACTTATAGATGTGACAAAAAAAGACAAGTATTTTATGAAACTTTGCCTTTGAAATTAATTACTATGCAAATACTTACAAAATATCTGTTTTACTACCTTCTGAATTTGAATAAATATAATTTAAACCTTTCAGAATAAATTAAGTTTGTTTGAATATCAAATATTATGGAACTAGAATAAAACATGACAATTTAAAATAGTGTATTACCTCCCGTCCCTCTAGCATATAAATATGTAAACCCACTTTTCTCTGTAAAACTAATTCACAATTTACTTCATTCTGTTGGCTGTAGAATTAGATGTTTCTTATATTTATTAATTTGTTTTTTTTTCTTTTTGGTATGTTTTGAAGATTTTAACTCTGTTGTATATTTAAAACCCCTCCCAATTTAAAACGATTCATAATTTTTAGAAACAATTCCTAAATTTAAGTCACTGAAAAAATCTGCACACCAAGTTTTAATGACTTCGTTAGAAAGAGCCATTTGGAATTGGATGGATACGTATCCTGAAGAGTTCTCCAAAGTACAGGTAGGTTTAAAGAAACATCATCTCTTTAAAAAAAAATCATATGGTATGTATTGATATTTAAATATCTCTGTTTTAGCAAAAAATAAATGATGAATTAGCAAAAAGCGCTGATTTGTTATTTGACACATTAGACCAAACTGTTGACAATAAAAAATGTAGAGTTTCATCATGGCCTCTACAGATTATGCTGTTAATATTATCACCGGTAACTTTTATATTGATATTTTATTTTATGTTGACATTATTGACTTTATTTCCCTTGAGTATCTTGATTATTAGTTAATTAATTAAATGCCACACATTTTTAGAGAGTCTTTGAAGAGATATTAAATGCTGATGCTGGTGCACCTTGTTCCCCGAGGCACTCAAGGAAAAAATCATTCATTGAATCAGTGAAAAAATCAATTTCATCCCATACAAGTAAACAGCTAACAGAAGCAGCTGCAATAACTTGTGTAAAGTTATGTAAAGCATCCACTTACATAAATAAAAACTCGGTTAATGTTGTTTTTCAACTTGTTCAATATATTATTAATGATTTAAAGGTAATAAGCCAATTCAGAAATATGTTAAAGTATTTCGTCTAAGTTATATTTCCGTTCTTTCTTTTCCAGGCACTTTTGTTTAATCCCGCGAAACCATTTCCGCGTGGACAAAATATGGTTGTCCATGATATCGATTTAATGATTGACTGTTTTGTATCTTGCTTTCGAATTAAGCCGCACAACAATGAAGCGCTTAAAGTTTGCTTAAACCCTCAAGCCCCATGTACATATCATTATGTGCTGGTCAGCTCTTTGTACAGGTTAGTAAATTTAAAGTTTTTTCATCTATCGTATACTAAAAATAAAAGCAATTCATTATTTGTGAATAAATATGTTAAGAAACTTTACAGAATAGTTTCTGGTCATATTTAGTAAAAATTATTCTATCCTTAGGATAATAACACAGACAAGTTTACACTGGTGGCCTCAAATCGATTTGGTCTACAGTAAATCTTCAGAACTGCGCTCTATGTTTACAGATACTTTGAATAAAGCAACTCAATGTTTTATGACCCAAACGCCTCTCAGAGTTATACAGGTAACTGCAATCACTTTCAAAAATTGTCCACTTAAAATGTTTAGTTTAAAAAAATATATATATTTTTTCAATGGCATTATTGGTTATTTTGTAAAGAATTGCTTGATTTGTTATTTATTTATTATCAATTCAATTAAACTGATTGAATATTTTTCAATTTCAATTATATGAAATTCTTTATGCTAAAAATAATTTCATAATAAAACAAATCATGCAATTGTGTGTTGCGTATAATTTTTTAGTTTTAAATATTTTTTTATTGTTTTGGAGATCACAGTGCCTGAGTGGTTAGGGTTTCCAACTCGGATTTGCCACACTAGTGGTTCTGGGTTTGAATCCCAGCATTGCACACGGCTTTTTAAAACGCTGTCAACCCTTTGGGGTAGAAATTTTCTTTCTTATTTTTTTCCATAAATAACCTTAATATTAATTATAAAACAGAAAAAATATTTTTTAATTTTATCTTTTGTCTAAATTAGGGTTTCCAGGGTCTCATTGATAATCGCCACCTCAGGCCGTTCAGCATCTAGTTTCCAATTACATTTAAAATGCAAAAAAAATGTATAGCCTATTTTCTCAGGTTTCAACCTGGATTCATGTCGATTGTTAGTCTAAAAACTGCTAATGGAAATCCATAGACGGGAAAAATGAAAAAAAAAACCTGTCACCCCGTGGGGAAGACAAGTCGGGTCTCATATGACACCTTCCGCCCTGGGTTAATATGAAAACCATATTTTAAATTGGTTTGGGACCTTGTCTGCTACACCCACCAGGGTTAAGCCCTCCTGTATGGCAGGAATTTTCTTTACTATTGATTATTTTATAATTATACATCTTCTGGCATGTATTGTACTAGAAGTGACATCAGTTCAATAATTGTACTAGATAGGAAATAGGTGGTCTGTTTCTGTGGCTAACCTCTCTCATTAACATATTGTCTTCCACTTAGTGCTTTTTTTTCTTTTGCAATAGCTAAGTCTATCTGAGTAGGCTTTTTATGCTATTCTAGTTATATGGTCATTGTAATGCTATATTAATTTGAGTTGTTGTATTTTCACTTATACTTCTAATTGTTTTATTTGATTTTAGTCTCTAACTATGAAGAGCAAGGATTCTGTTCCAAAATTTAAAGAAAGAAATGAAGAAGCTCCTGGGTACCGTGCTCTTTTGCTTCGAATGGTTCGCTTGATACATGCTGATCCTATGCTTATGTTGAATGTCAGTACATATTGAACTGTTTACATAATGTATTCAATTCACAATTGTGGTCATTTTGTATTTTAGAATCAAGGAAAGGCTGGTCATGAAATTCAAAGTTCAACTCTGGAGTTAATCAACGGTTTAGTTAGCTTAGTACACCATCCAACAATGCATGATATAGCTCATGAAGCTATGGAAGCACTACTGGTATTGCACCAACCAGAAAAAATAGAAGTTTGGAATCCAGAAGCTCCAATAAACACTTTCTGGGATGTAAGGTATGTAGTAAACACAATTTAAAAAATATTGTAATGTATTTTTATGACCACTATCATTCCATTACTCAGCTTTAAAAAAAAATAATGGAAAGCAATTTTACGTTAATTTCATTTTAAAATTATGAATTACAAACTTTTGGTCTTTCAAATCAAAAGATAATTGTTCAAAAACCAAGAATGCACGATTAGAAAGGTAAGAACTAAATAGTTTCAGTGGCACACCAGAAATATCCATATCGGACATCTTTAGCAATAAAAACTCATGATCAACTGAGTCAAAAACCGAAAACATCATTATTTGTACCAAGCTTATTTACAATATAATGTGAATCAAAAAAAGCCAACTCGGTTGACTTACCTGGTAAAAAGCCATATTGATTTTCTGGTATAATATTATTGTTAATTAGAAAAAAAAACAAGTAACCTTGCCTTAATAATTTTTTTAAAATGCCAAAGTCAAAGAAATTAGTCTACAGTTATTAATGTCCAGTTTAGAACAATTTAATGAAAAACATGCAATGAGTGATGTTTTTCCCAAAAGAAAACAAAGTTTAAAAATGTGTGTCAAAGGAGTTATTATAAAAGATGAAAATTTACAAATTAAGGAATTTATAAGCATGTCATCATAGGATTATAATTAAGTTTCAAATCGTTGATGTAAGAGAGAATTTCATTTTTAGGCACAGATTTAAGTTCAAAAATAGCTTGCACTGAAACCGGATTAAGGGGCAACGATCCCCTGCTTAACAAATGTTCTGTATAAATAAAAATATTTTATAATCTGTATGTATAAAAATAATAATAAATAAATAAAGATGCAATATCACCAACTTCGGTTAAATTTATGTTGGTGATACTAGGTCAAAAAATATTAGACAATATCTAAGCGTTTTTGCCAATAGGCTCTAAGTGCTGAAAAACATATTTTAAGTAACTTAACTAATTTTTTTAAAATATGATTTTCTGCCTTTGTTGTGCATATTTCAAGGTTATTATGAATATCAATACAAAAAGAAAATTATATGCTAGCTTGTATTCAGATTAGATCTTATATAAAAAGTTACAAAAATAATGTACAGGTATTGGAGAAGAGGTACATTTATTATGTACATTAGAAGAGAAAAAATAAAACTTAAATCAATTTCCTGAAGCATTTTGTTTTATATCTCCGGTTCTGATTTATTTACAGAGGTCAGTTTTGTGTTATTTTGTTTAGATCATTGGGTTCTATACCCTTATAAATTAGATTGGTGGACACATGTAAAAGCTGTCACCATTTTGTGATTTTTGGAAATTGAAGTCAAAAATTTGTATTCGTGGATTTTTCAGGGTGTAGAAAATTATCAACTTTGTTTCTTCCAAAAAAAATATTTTAACCTATTTTGCTATGTCACTCAGTCACAAAGTAATTATTAATAGATTTAGATAGCTTAAATTTGCTTATTTGCAGATTGATGTTTTTTTTTAGTTTTTTTTTTTAGTAGGCAAGAACGCTTAGACAAAAGTCTAATAGTTTTCGCCAAATTTGGTTAAAATCAGTGATCCCATGCTCAAGCCTCCTTTAATCCATGTTTATTTAAAATTTATTTATTTCCTCTGTTCAATATTTTTGATTCATCATTTATTTTTTTCAGTTCTCAAGTGCTTTTTTCAATATCCCAGAAACTTATTCAACACCAAATAGTGAACTACACCGATGTATTAAAATGGTTGAGGGAAATTTTGGTCTGTCGAAATGAGTTTTTGTCTCATCACAAGGATTATGCAAATGTTGGGAGCCACATAGCAATTTGCAAACAAGCCCATATTAAACTTGAGGTGTGTATTTACACCGGTCGTAAATTTAATTTGATCATATCTTATTAAAACGTTTTATTTTTTTTTTTTTTTTTTAAGGTTGTTTTCTTCATGTATCTTTGGAGCACGGATATTGAAGCAGTCTTAATAGCAATGAGCTGTTTTGCGCTGCTCTGTGAAGAAGCAGATATACGCTGCACTACAGAAGATATAACAGTTACAACATTATTACCCAATTATCACTTATACCAAGATTTAGCACAGGCTTCTACCATTCTTACAACAGGTCATTTTTAAGATACATTTTTCAAATTTTCTCACAATCTAACACAATAATACAATATTTATTAAACATCAAATTTTAACTTTTTCAGCAAGTGGAGATTCTCGTCTATATTGCAGGGAACAAAACCATGGTATGTTTGTATTATATCTATAGCTGGAAAAAAATCAGTACTGATTGTCTGGTGTTGTTTTCAGGACGAGCAGTGCTGCAAAAACGAATTATGGCACTACTTAGAAAAATAGAACATTGTGTCAATGGTGTTCAACCAGTAAGCATTTTATGTTTCAATTTTATCATTTATGAATTTTGTAGTCATTATCATTACTAAAGCTCACAATCCTCCCATAATATAGAATTTTTATAACCTCCCATAATTTTTTAACGTTACTGTTGACTCTATAATCTTAGAATTATTTTATTTTATTTATTTATTTTTGTTACTTGATGATTTTTACTTTAAAAAAAGCGAGTTTTATATTTGTAGTAATTAGAGGATCACGGTGGCCAAGTGTTTAAGGCAGTAAGTACCTAAACATCTTCGCCAAAACAAAAATATACCTCCTCTCAGGAGGCAAGAATTAAAGAAAATAACAGGAATTTATTCTTGGGCATGCCCTATTCAATTCAACCTTCAAAATTAGGAAAACTGAAACAAAAGCCTGCCGACTCTATCATGAAAAGGCAAAGATGACTGAAAAGGCTAGAAACAGCGCAGCATCAGGAAGGAAAGTTTAAAAAAATAAGTAAAACAAAAAAAAGTAACCCAAGGAAAGTGCTCAACTACCTTAAAAGTAGTGCACTAAAATCACCAATAAAATGGAAAAGTGCTCAAAGATAATACAGTTAACAGTTAGTAAGTTTTAGCCACCTTAGTATTTCTTGGTTCGAATCCAGGCACAGCCCCCAGCTGTTTAATTGAAAATTGTATGATAGAAGTATAAAGTGGTGTAAGCAGGTGGTGACACTATTTACTTATCAATAAGTGATAGAGAACATTCAGCTTACATGCTTAACTACTTTTTGTGTAGGGGATGATAGGGTTCTAGAAATAAAATAAACCAAAGAGATATAGTTTTGTAAACATTTATTGTAACACTTGCCTGCCTTAATGTGGCAACGAAGAAATATAATGTCAAAAATCAAAACAAGTCAACCACAACTAACTCTATGATGAGCTTATAAACAAGAGGACTTAGCCCAAACGATGCTCCCCAATCTTTCACATCATCTTCAGCGTCTTCCAGGATCTTTTTTCTGCAGTGGGTCCTCGACAGTCAACTATTTGACTTGTCACAATGGTTGGTCCTTGCTGGCTGAGTCCCAGGCAGAGTGTGGCTGTTTAACTGCTCTGACTGAGTCCACTTGTTGACTGACTGGGTGATTTTCTGACTATCTTTTGCTTTCCCCTTTTGTACAGGTTTTCCAACCAGAGTAGGGGAGGAAAGGAAAAGCGAATAACTTTTGAGCAGATGGGATCCTGGGGAGTTCCAATTAAGCAGCCATCTTGTCCCACACAGTGGGAATCTGGTGAAGTTGTATATTGCCCATCCAGCTGGCGTGATCACAAATTTATGGTGTCCCATGGTGCTGGATGTACTGTTTCTGTGACAACTTTCCCACACTAAATAACTCTTCGGCTTTCATTATTTAGTAGACTGTCTATTCAACTATTGCATTTGTATAATCTCCAGGTTTGTGGGAAATGTCTCTTTGCTCCCTTCTTGATTGGCGTGCTGTCAGATTTACAGCCTTATTTTTAATGTTTTTTTGACATTCCTTAAAACTTATTTTAACTATTCCTGCGTATTGTAAGACTGGGCTGTTGACTGTTGGGGGGTTGTGTTGACCTCTTGTCTGCATCACCCAACAGGTAGTTGGATGTTAAGCCCTTCTGTATGACAGGAATTACTTAACTTATTTACATTTTATAATTAATGTCTATATTTAGGTTATTTTACTAGATATGTAATATGCAGAATATAATATTCAGTGGAACAAATTTTAAATTTTAGGCATGGGAAGAAACTTTCAGAAATTGGGAAATCGGGACAAAATTTTTGACATCCTATCCTAAAACAAAGCTCGAAGATGGACAGTTGGAGCCATTTCATCGAACAGCTGGAAAACGTCGAGCTTCTCATCAAAATTCAGATCACGAACTGGAGGTATGAATTAAAGAATTAAATGATTTTTTTCAATACATTATTATCGGTTTGTATTTAAGGACCAAATCAATGAATGGGCCAACATGACCGGGTTTTTATGTGCCCTTGGTGGCGTATGCCTACAAAGAAAATCTCCAGTTCGGCCTATGAGCAATATGAATGATGTCAGAAAAAATACAATTCTTCCCAATCCTACCCAGGAGATACAGTATTGCCCTGTCACTCAGTAAATACACTTTTATTTTAAAAGAAAATGTTTCTGTTATTCAACTTTCCGTTTTCAATATTCCTATAAAATGATCATGAAATCTAAATGTCTTTTTTTTTTCAGATTCATTGGCCATCTGCTTCGTTTGTTAGTTTGTAACAATGAAAAGTGCGGTGGACAGATTCAAAAACACGTAAAAGAACTTGTGGGACATGAAATGTCTGCTGCATTATATCCAATACTATTTGATCAAATCAAATCAGTTGTTGAAAAATTTTTTGACCAACAAGCTCAAGTATGATAATTAAATTTACTTCATCATGGACATTTTATAATTGAATTTCTTTGATTTTAGGTTATTGTATCTGATATAAATACACAGTTCATTGAACATATTATATTCATAATGAAAAATGTATTAGATAGTAAAAGTGACCAACCTGCAGACCATCTTGGAGTTACAAGCATAGAAGGAATGATGTTAGCTATAGTAAGGTGTGTTAAATATTATTCACCATGTTTTTGTTTTTAATTTTTTAATAGAATCACTAATTTATTGATTGATTCATTTTTAGATATGTCAGACATTTGGATATGACAGTTCATGCCATCCATATTAAGACTAAACTATGCCAACTGGTAGAAGCCATGATGAAAAGGAGAGATGACCTTGCATTCAGGCAAGAAATGAAATTCCGCAATAAACTCGTCGAATATCTCACGGACTGGGTATTAGGAACGTCCCATCAGATTGCTCCCCCAGGCTCTGGTGATGCTTCTATTATTACCAGGTAAAACATATGGTTCATTATGCTTACAATTATATCAAACAGAATTATTAAATACACTTCTAAGACAAAAATTCGGACACTTGTACTTGGTTGTTTATTTTAAACTATATTATCATGTATGGTAACTTTGGCACCCGTAGAGGAGGACAAGTTGAGTTGAAAATACAAAAGAAACATAAAACATTCTGTTATGAGTATTATTTTATTTACCACACTATAAAACATTTATCTTACCAACTGGTGTAATTAAAATAGTGAATCAAGAAATAAATGTGAACTCCATAAGAAGGAAAATAAAATATGACTTCCAAAGAGAACAGGGATGTTGTCAACCCGGTGGTGATGCCCACCCCAGAGCCATTTAGTTTCCAACCCAGTGAATGGCCACAATGGATTCGAATGGGCTGTGGACTGGACTGGAGAAGTACGCATATCTGTTGGCCTCTCTTATCTAAATAAAAACGTAAAACGCCAGTTCCACCCAATGCCTCAAATAGAACTGCAGTTGGCAGAACTTAATTTGGCAAAATACTTTAGCAAGCTTGACACCAATTATGTATTCTGGTAACTCAACCTGGCAAAAGACTCCCAAGATTATACATTTATTACACAATTTGGGAGATTTACATTTCAGAAATTCCCCTTTGGAATTACATCCGCTTCAGAGGAATTCCAACAAAGGATGGCAAGAGTCCTTCCTTGAAGGGACAAGAATTGCTTGATTCATATGAATAACATATTAGTCTGGGGAAATACAAAAGAAGAACATGATAACTATCTGAGGAGTGTTATGGAAAAAAAGAAAGCTGGGATAATTCTAAATTAAGGGAAAGCTGAGTTTTGTAAACAAAAGGTTGAATTTCTAGGATTTCTGCTTTTCAAAGAAGATGTAGCACCTGATCCGAACAAAGTGAAAGCAATTACAGAAATGGAACCACCCATGATGTAAAAGAAGTCCAACACTTCATGGGGATTGTAACATTTTTAGCAAAGTTCATCCCTAAATTAAGCAAGACCATGACATCGATCACAAGGTTGGTAAGCTCAAACAATGCACTTGTATGGGAGCCATCTCAACAAATTGCTTTTGAGAAAATCAAGGAATTACTCACATCTTCACCTTGTCTAACAATATCTGATCCAAACAAACCAATAATTGTGTCTTGTGTCTCGTCAACCAAAGGACTGGGCACCTACTCCAAGTAGAAGCTGGAGTCAAGAAACATGTGGCCTATATTTAAAAGACCTTGTCAACTGCTGAAAGCAATTATGCATATATTGAGTGAAAGACAGTATTTACAAGGGATAGCGATCATATGAAAAACTTTCTACCTTTTTGACTTTGACCATTTGGAATTGACTACCTATTATGGAAGCTGTTAAAAGTTCTGTTATAGCCATCATGCATTGCAGTCGACCACTACTTTATCTTCGATCAAAACTTCCGGTGGCTGTATACCTCTGTGGACTGTCATGGATGGTAGAGTGCACCACGCCTAGGACTTGGGCTGTTTCCATCATTGGCCAAACTGTCAGCCCAGGCAACAAGATCTTCTTAACTTAAACCATGTTTTTAAAAAAAAAAAAATTATTTTTTTACTCAAATTTATTGTTTCATCAAAGAAAACAATCTAAAAACCCAAATAACTCACTCAACAAATTGGCTCTGGAAAGGATGAAATTAAACTGATTTTTTGATATTTTCCTACTATTAGTAAAGACTACCAAGTTAATATATTATGTAAAATAAACAAATAAAACTAACAAGTTTCATCTTTTTTTCTTTTCTTTTTTTTTAAATGTATATTCAAATAATCTCCTACCTTAAAAAACATTATTTAACTTTTTTTTCTGTTATTCAAGAGATTTAGATCAAGCGTGCATGGAAGCAGTAGCTGCACTCTTACGTGGTCTTCCATTGCAACCTGAGGAATCAGACCGAGGAGATTTAATGGAAGCAAAGAGTCAGTTATTCCTAAAGTAAGAAGTAAACATTAACACAATGAAATTTTTTTTTTTTTTTACTTATCGAGTAATATTGTCTCTGTTTTTATAGGTACTTTACTTTGTTCATGAATCTACTGAATGACTGTAGTGAAGTGCCAGATGTAGCGAAAGATGTGTCAAGACAGCGGGTATCTGATGGCAAACTTACAACTTTAAGAAATTCGACAATTCAAGCAATGTCAAATCTACTTTCTGCAAATATTGATAGCGGTCTAATGCACAGTATTGGTTAGTAAAATATAATGCAATGTCAAGTGAATCATTACAATCTGTTTCGTAAAAATTATACAGGTTGTCTTGTGAACAAGCAATACTTCAGGAGGTTATCATACATCTTAAATTAGAATAAAAAGTTCCTATTGTCAAAAAATCTGGTTATCAAATGTATTCAAGATACTTCACTTGTCAGGTTACTTCTACCTTTTACAACTTTTTTCTCCAGGGTATTAGTTTGGTTTAGGTGTCAATACATAACTCATCACAGTAAAGTGAAGGTCTCGATTCGAATTCAGTGGCCTTACATTCAAACCCAACATACTTACATTTTTTTCAAAATCACGGGCACACTGAAGATTCATATAACCTCATAGATGAAATAACCAACAACTGTACTTTGTGTTACCATGCATTATTTCCTTATGTAAAATTAAAAGCTATTTTAGAAATAACTTGTGTTTTATAAAAATAAGGAAGACAAATAATGATTTGCCATGGGTTACAAATTAAAATCAACATTTTGAACCTAACATACCTTCAAATGTGCAGTTTTACAAAAACATGGACAACCGAAAATTCATTTATCCTCAGAGTTAAAATAACCTCATAAAAAATAAGTCTTAACTGTACTTTGTGTTACCCTACACCATTCGACTTATTTTGAAATTATAAAAGCTATTGGATGCTTGTTTTATAAAAATAAGTAAGACGAAAAATGATTTGCCATGGGGTTCGAATTAAAATGAATTGTCATTATTTTGAAGCGAACATACCTTCAAATGGGGGACCGCGGTAGCCGAGTGGTTAGCATGAGAGACTCTCACGCCGCGGTCATGGGTTCGATTCCCACCGTCGCCTCTGGCCCTTTTTTCACGATAACCCCCCCCCCCCCCTCAATTTGAACACACATATAAGAATTTGTCACCATGGCTAATATGCATAGATCATAAGGCAAAAAAAAAAAAACTTCAAATGGGCATTTTTTTTTTTTTTAAACATCGGCATCCTTAGAGTTCATATAACCTCATAGTTGAAATACCCTAGTAATTGAACAAAACTTCCATTAAGTCTACTGTATCAAAATGTTAAATCCTCCAGTAATTTTTTTTTTTAAACACCCCAGCATGCTCAACCCCACGACCCGCCCCCAGCCACAGGGAGTCCCATGTTACACATTGCTCGTTTAAATTTTGTTGATTAGGTTAGCTTCATTTAAAAAGTGAAACGCTTTGTAAGTGTATCTTGATCATCCCCTAAAAGTTCAGGTAGTGTATTTGGTAAAGCGTACTTATTTCTGATACTGTCATATAGATGACATGATATAAGCATATGTTTTACAGTCACAGTCTCATTGCATAAATGACAGATCGGTGGTGGCTGACGAGCCATCAAGTATCCCTTGGTGGCTCTACAGTGCCCGATTCTCAGCCTAGTTAGGATCGCTTCTTCTTTTCTTCTAACTCTAGATGAGGAAGGCCACATTCGAACAGTGGATTTTATTTCCCGAAGCTTGTTATCTGTGACATCTGACCAAACCTTTTGCCATTGTGTCCATACTTTAATTTCTAAAGCGGAATTTAAATCATTCCTTGTGATCTCGCTGATTTTGGTGCCATTTACTGTAGCTTCTTTGGCAGCTCTGTCCGCTAGTTCGTTGCCTAAAATATTCATATGCCCAGGGATCAAAAAAAAAAAATGACACTCTTCCCTCACTGTGAAAGACACTTCAGAGAATAAAGGGCATCCTGGACCATGAGGTTATTTGAGAACGGGTGGTAAAAGGCCTGTAGGGCAGACATCGAATCAGTGCACACGACCAGTGTATTGTTTTGAGCAATCAACATTCAGTGATTTGATTATTGCCGTCATTTCAGCTGTATAGTTACTCGCTATTGAGTTTAACGAAAATAAATATTTTCTATCTCCAACTACACAAGCTGCTCCCACCCCATCGGGGCCTTTAGAACATCCGTATACACGTGTTGCTGAGGGTAGCTTACTCTTGATGGTTAAGAATTCTTGTTTATATATATATAGATAGGATTGTCATTTTTATTATGCATATTCAGAGTCAACATTACTTTTGGTTTTGATAGTAGCCAGGGAGGTATGACTGAACAAGTTTCTTTTTGCAAAGGTGGTATCATGAACTGTACATCCAGTAACATTAGTGATATTCGAGCTCTCCAGTAAATTTGATTACATTGATGGAAAGACCATTGAAACTCCTATGGGGTCTCACTCAGAAGTTAAACTTTTATGAATTTAAAACCTAAGATTTTCTTAGGCTAGGGTTAAGTGGTCCTAGCTAGGCACTTAATTACTTGATGAGTCGTCAGGTACTAGTGCCAAGATGCTTAATGGCCACACCAAGGCTTGTCACCATAGCTGTGATCATTGTTCACATCTTTGAAATATCTCCCTTGAAACAAACGCTTTGGGCAGAAAATATTTCTTTGAAATATGAACAATTGCGGAGGTCATGCTGGGTGCACTGTATTAGTTGTGAGAGAATTAAAAATGGTGAATTTCTTTTTTAATATGTTCCTGTGTTTTCTTTAGAAACATTACGTTTTTATGAAGGTTAGGCCGGATACCATAAACATTCTCATTTGAAAATTGTAGCTATTAATGCGTCATAATCCATGATAAAATTTCAAAAACCAATAAGCAACACACCAGGCAAAACCAACTCGACCATTCGTCTAGAGAGATACCAAATGATTCACGAGGCTGTTTTACATAAAATTAGCATTTAATTTCTTAAAATAAGATGTTTTGGTTACAAGCAGTTCAAAAAATTATAATAATAAAATTAAAAAATTCAATAAAATTTTAAAACAAGAAAAACTAAAAGCTTTAAAAAAATTAAATCAATGTTAGGAATGTCCACCTTCTTAAAGAATACAAGTGTGACATGGTTTCCTGACAGATTTGACTGCTCTCAAAAGTTCATCCTGTTTCTGTTCTTCCATAACTGCACAGTATTCCTGAAACTTTTCCATCACTTCTTCATCCTTAGGTCTGACAGGAATGAATAGACTTAATTTTATAAGTTCCCCATATGTAGAAATCCATTGGGGTTAAATCTGAGAATCCAACACAGGACAGTAAGAACTTTTTAGCTCAACCTCCTGAAGTACTGATGTCTGGTCAGGGGATTTAAGACACAGACTTATATACATGCAGCATTCTTGTGTATCATAAATATTCTTAATTTTATACTTAGATCTGGGCTACAACCGAGACCTACAAACAAGAGCCGCTTTCATGGAAGTTTTGACTAAAATATTACAACAAGGCACTGAGTTTGACACGTTAGCTGAAACTGTGCTAGCTGATCGATTCGAACAACTTGTTCAATTGGTTACCATGATAAGTGACAAAGGAGAACTCCCAATTGCTATGGCGCTTGCAAATGTAGTTACAACAGCACAAATGGTATGTAAACTGTATTTACTACCCGTATCCCTACTATTGAATTAAATTGAACAAAGCCTTGGTCTGTCTTGTGTCATCCCCCATCTGGCAAGCCAAAACCAGTGAGGATAGACCAGGATGAAATGTCCAACTTACAGGTTCATCACCCTGTAGATCTCAAGAAAATCTCATTTATGTAAAACCTTGAGTGTTATTTTGAACTTTAAGGAACAGCTTGGGTTTTTTCAATTATGTCTAATTCTAACAATATGCACAATTTGTTTCTACCATAGGATGAACTAGCAAGGGTTTTTGTAACCCTTTTTGATGCGAAACACCTACTGGCTCCATTATTATGGAACATGTTTTATCGTGAAGTTGAAGTATCAGACTGTATGCAGACGCTATTTAGAGGGAATTCTTTAGGTTCGAAAATTATGGCGTTTTGCTTTAAAATCTATGGTGGGACATATTTGCAAAATTTATTAGAACCTCATATAAGGCCTCTAATTGAGGCCACTCCACCATCACTGGAAGTTGATCCTGCGAGGTATGGGTTTCTTAAAATTCACAGCTGATTTCTATGCTTTTAACCTGATCTATTTCTGTTATATAGATTAGACCCAGCTGAAAATATAGATCAAAACAGGCAGAATCTTATTCAATTGACTCAAAGGGTATTTGACTCTATTATCTCTTCAGCTGACAGGTTAATTTTTAAAATTATAATCAAACAATTTTTGCTTATCATTTTAATTCAATATTATTAAGATTGTGATTTTTTAGGTTTCCACCCCAGCTGAGAAGTATGTGTCATTGCTTGTATCAAGTTCTTAGCAAACGGTTCCCACAAATTCCTCAAAATAATATAGGTGCTGTAGGGACAGTCATATTTCTGCGTTTTATTAACCCTGCAATTGGTAAATTATTTGTTCTTCTTCATTGTTTGTTTCTTCATAATCTGATTAACTTCTATATTAAGTAATTAATCTAAGTATTAGATTACCAGATACTAAAGGAAATAAAAAATTGCATATGTGCCTGCTTTTTTTTCATGCAGTCTTATTAATTATTGTAGTGTCTCCACAAGAAATGGGAATCGTTTCAAAGATTGTACCTCAGTCAGTTAAACGAGGACTTATGCTGATGTCAAAAATATTACAAAACATCGCCAATCATGTTGAATTCAGCAAAGAGCAGCATATGATCCCATTCAATGACTTCCTAATATCACAGTTTGAGAGAGCTCGAAGGTTTGTTTTCATTCTCATAAAATAATTAGCTTGGATCATATAATTTTTATTTATTGTTATTTTTTATAGATTCTTTATTCAAATTGCATCAGACTGTGAGACAGAGGATCAAGGATCACATTCCATGTCTTTCATTAGTGATTCCAATGTTTTGGCACTCCATAGGCTTCTTTGGAATCATCAAGAAAGGATCGGTGATTATCTGTCAAGCAGTAGAGATCACAAAGCTGTTGGGCGGAGACCTTTTGACAAAATGGCAACTCTTCTTGCCTACTTAGGCCCACCAGAACATAAACCTGTTGACTCGCAGTAAGTCTTATAATTCAGCACTCAAAAATGACCAAAACATTTCACATTTCTATTTTTTTATGATATCAAAGTTTATGTTTGTAAAAATTTTCAAAGAAATAAATAAAAATCAAATCCTGGATATGTAACCTAACCCTACCTAATCTATCATTAACCCTTTCTAAACTAGCTCTAACTCTAACCATTCCTAACTTAATTGTTCATAACACTAACCCATCCCTAGCCCTCACACTATCTCTAAAGGTGGCCATTCACGATCACTCCCAGCAATCCAAACGGAGTGACGCCGTTCCAAAAACCACATCAATGGCAAAACTGAACTGGCATGCCAGGCTGTGGCGAATATTCGACCGGTCCATACATCTACAGTGCAACGACGGTATGGCGCGTTCGTGAATGGGAAAACCTGGCGTGAACAGTGGACTATTGGAGCGCTGGCTGGTTGTGAATAAGAAAGCCCTCGGTTTTTTTGGCGCAGTTTGCATCTTTCTGTCACTGAGCAAACATCTCCGTCGTACATTCTCAAAAAGTCAAAAACGCTTATTCTTTATTGGCAATGACATCCAATCGAGATTTTATTGTTGAGATGATTGAATTGTATAAAAGTTTACAATGATTATGAAAAGTGGTGGACAATGATTATCACAAAAGAAATGAAAGAAATTCGGTCCTTGACCAGTTGGTCGACCTTTTCAAAACAAAGGATACAAATGCAATGAGAGATGCGGTATTGATAACCCCTAAGCACTGAGCAGAAATCGTTGTAGAGAACTTAAGTTCTTCGTAGTTCATCCCTGTAGTGAGAAATCGTAATGTGGCTGCCAACGTTTCATGTGGAGTGATGATTTCTCTCATGATAGTCTTTTGTTTTCTAATCAGCTGGGTAACAAGCTGGAGTAAATATAAATAAGACATTAATCTTTCTGTTTGTAAGGTTTGGTTGAAATGAAACAACTAGTGTCATGTGGGGGATTCGAACCCACGACCTTTGGCTAAATATGCCGCTGCTCTAGCCATTTGAGCTATCGTGACTTCAATCCACTCAGACACCAACTGCCATCTCAACCTACAACCTTTCGAATTTTCCCTCTTTTTGCCATTTTTTGTTGTCCGAGAGGATCAAAGTCATGATAGATCAAGTGGTAGAGCAGCGGCGTATTTAGCCGGTCATGTATTTGAATCCCGCTCGTGGCACTAGCTTTTTCATTTCAACCAAAACCTTACAAAAAAGATTAATTAATTGAAAGAAGTTATTTGGTCAATAGAACACTAAATATAATAAATAAATAAGACGTTTCATCCATCCTTTAATAGTTCCTCCAATCAGCGGGTTCAAGGGAAAGGTCTTTCATCAAATTGATGTGGGTTTACGGCTTCTGTTCAGGAGCCACTTCTTACACCATTTCCTCTTCGGTTTTTTGCTTTTAATATATAAACAAACAGCAGCATAGCACAAGAGATCCTCATCCATTTTGAGCGACTGGCTGTGGAGCAGTCATGAATGCCCCCTCAAATTTCAGGCACTCCAAATGGAACTATACGGCTTGGTGCAGTTCCATTTGGAGCGATCGTGAATGGCCACCTTAACCCAACCAAACCCGTGGGACACTCTCTGTTAATGTATAATGATAATATATTATTGATGAAATCAAACTGGCCATGCAAAACAAATTGTCATGATAATAAATACATTATGGATTTAACGTAATCCAACCATAACCCAACCTAACCTAGCCTGTCCCTAATCTTAGCCCTACCTAACTTAAACTGTCTCTAACTTTAACCCTCCCTAAACTGTCCATAACCCTAACCCTACCAAGCTTAGCCTGTCTCTCACCTTAACACTAACTCTAACCGTACAACCATACTTAACCCAATGGTTGCAAAAAATTGTATCCAGCCTTAAAACATATCCAAGTTAGAAAGTGTTTGGAGTGCTCAGACCAAACAAACTTTCTTTAAGATCATTAATAACTCATGTTATGAGAATAAATACATCATGGATTTAACCATTTACCAACCTAATTTAACTATAACCCTGCCTAACCTAAACTTGCTCTAACCCTGCAACCTAACTTTACCAAACCAAACCCATGTTCAGAATAAATACATCATGGATCTGTATGTAACCTAATCCTAACCATAACCATACCTAACCTAACCTGTCCCTACCCTAGGGGACCTACCTAACCAAACCCATGTGCAATCAATGAAGCGAAAATGATCATGCAAAACAGTGTGTATCCAATCTCAAAACAGAACTACTACCTAGTCTAACCTGTCCCTCACCCTAGTACTACCTAACCTAACCCGTCCCTAAACTTGACATAACCCTAAAATTCACTCTAACCCTACTTAACCTGACAAAATCCATGCATGCTCCTCAGTAATGTGAAATTGATGAAGGAAACTTTTTTGTGCTAATTGTACAACGTTTAAATATTTTTCAACATATGCAAGATTGTGATATAGCGTTTAGTATATAGTGGTATATTTTCAGCTTGATGTTTTCCTCCTACCCTCGTTGGGGATCAATTGAGATGTCAGGAAACAATTTTGAGGAAATCATGGTTAAACACAACATGCACGAAAAAGAAGAATTTAAATCAATCAAATCATTGAATATATTTTATCAAGCAGGAACATCGAAGGCTGGTTATCCTGTCTTCTATTACATAGCTCGACGTTATAAGTGAGAATTACAAATAACTATTTTAATATCTCAAAATGTTAAAGAATGAAATACTTCTCACCTTTTTAAAATAGATAATACAATTATTTTTTTTTATTACTTATTTGGTTCATATTGTAATAACTTTAATCTTCATGAACTTTTCAGAATTGGGGAGACTAATGGTGATTTGCTGATATATCATGTCATACTAACATTAAAGCCGTTTTGCCATGCTCCATTTGAAATTGTTGTGGATTTCACTCATACATGTTCTGACAATCGCTTCAGGTTTGAAATAACAAATTTTATAACGTAACGCTTATTTACTCAAAAATTAGGACAAATATATTATCAACTTCCAGAACTGATTTCTTACAAAAATGGTTTCATGTTTTACCGGATATGGCTTACGCTAACATCCATGCTGCATACATTTATAACTGTAACAGTTGGGTCCGAGAATATACAAAGTATCATGACAGAATCCTGGCTTCCATAAAGGTAACAAATTCAAATAATTACTACAGTCACACATTTTTGTTCATGTTTTTCTATAGAGTACGTATTTATCCTTTTCTCTTTTTGTTTTTATAATTGATTTAATATTGTTTTTCAGGGTAATAAGAAGTTAATTTTTATTGAAGCACCAGCAAGAATTAATGACTTTATCGAACCTGATCAACAAAAACTGCCAGGAGCTACACTTTCTCTGGACGAGGATCTCAAAGTTTTCAATAATGCTCTTAAACTTTCTCATAAAGACACAAAAGTGGCAATAAAGGTAATTTTTCTATTTCAAATAATTTTATGTCAGCGGCCCGGACTCGTGTTTACTTTTTGTGTAGAAGGAAGGTTAGGCTCAAACAATACAAAAACCAAAGACAAGACTCGTATGCATTTATTGTAACACTTTTCCAGACCTTTCAATAATTATATTGATCAAATTAATTAAATATGAGTCAGCTAAACCACTACCTGTAGGGGTAAGCCTACCCTAGCCCTAGCCCTTGTTGCGAGGGTAAGTCATGACCCATGGCCATATGCCTAATGCACATGAAGGACTCCATAATTCTTGGAAGCTACCATCTCACTTGATGATTACTACCTAGTGCAACCCTACCTTGATGAGTCCTGTGTTTGACACAATGTTTGAAAACTTTCCCTACTAAATCATTTATCTTTTTTATTATTTACTGAGGCTATTCAGTTGTCTCTTGTCTACACCTTCCATGTTTTTGGTTCCTTTGTTTCCTACTGTGCTGACAAGACATCACGTTTACAGCCTAGCAGAAAAAGTACCAAATTTCTTGTAAACTACTAATGTAAAGCGGCCCATAGATGATCAATATTATTGCACAATATTTTGGGTTGTGCAATGTAATTGATCGTGTGTAGACGATATTGAAAGTTTGTGCAATATATTGCATGATTGACGAAAAGTTGAAAATATATTGTACAACCTGGAAAATATTGCACCGTCTGTTGGCATTATTGCGCAATATCAGTCAGGTTGTGAAGTATCAACAAGTGGTACAAACTATTCAATTTCATTACACAAACAAAATTTTGTACAATATTATTGAACGTGAAGGGGCAACGTCAAATTATTGTGCAATCTATATTGTACAATAATATTGACCGTCTATGGGCCGCTTAAGGCTTCCACAATCACTTCAATTTATTTACTTATTAAGACATCTTACATTTACAAGGAAATTTTTTACTTTAGTAAAAGACCTTTAAACCGACTTTTCATTAAACAATTTTTTATCCAATAGAAGGACCTTGACTCTGATCCTAACACATGAAAAAAATTAATTATCCCAATAGTTACATTAAGTATATATTGTGTATTAATTTTGATTTCAGGTTGGGCCGACAGCTATACAAATAACATCTTCTGAGAAGACTAAAGTTTTATCGCATTCAGTCCTGCTTAATGATGTTTATTATGCATCTGAAATTGAAGAAGTTTGCCTTGTAGATGATAACCAGTTTACTTTAACAATAGCAAATGAATCTGGTCCTCTTTCTTTCATACATAACGATTGTGATAGTATTGTGCAGGCAATCATTCATATCCGAAATAGATGGGAGTTGTCACAACCTGTAAGTGCACGATGATACACAATAAAATGATATTGTTTCATCAAAATATTAAGTGAAAACTTTTTACCAGGATTCTGTCACCGTCCATCAAAAGATAAGGCCGAAGGATGTGCCAGGCACTCTTCTTAACATGGCTTTTCTGAATTTAGGATCGTCTGATCCAAGCTTGAGGACTGCTGCTTATAATCAGCTGTGTGCCCTTACAGCAACATTCGACTTAAAAATAGAAGGACAGCTGTTGGAAACTTCCGGTATTAAACAAAATTAACAATAATTATTATAAAATATATGCTAATTTTTATATTTTCATTATAGGCCTGTGTATTCCATCCAACAATACAATTTTTATCAAATCTGTTAGTGAAAAGTTAGCTACTAATGAACCACATTTAACCTTGGAATTTCTCGAAGAATGTATACAAGGCTTCCGAGTGTCCACTATAGAACTTAAACATTTGTGTTTGGAATATATGACTCCCTGGCTTCCTAACCTGGTTAGGTGAGTAAAATTTTATAATTATGTATTCAAAAGAATGGCAAGTAGTAAAAAGCCAAAAGCATAGTCGACAATTATCAAAATATTAACACGTTTGCAATGTTTGATAATTTACCTGATAGTAAAACCACATTCTTAAATTATAACGCTATAACTTTTGAGCTTTAGAAAATGGGATCAGAGACAATCTCGGTCTGCTGAAATTTGAATGACAAAAACCTTAGAATCAATCAGTCAATTGTCTCTCCTCTAGCCTTTTTTTATGGACAGTTTCAATGTTCTTATATATTCTTTTCATATCAAAAGAACACCTCAGACTGCTTGCAGTAATTGGTTCTGGGACTGCAACATTTAAAGAAAGAAAAACACTTTAATTTTCAAAAATATTTGAAATAACATAATAAAAATTTTCTATAAAATAAAAACCCATTTTTGTAAATATTAAGGAATTATACAAGAGTAATCTAAAATAGTACATATTTTGCGCCTTGAACTTATAAGCCAGTTCCTGTCCTAGTATAAGTTGTAGTTGTTAAAAAAGAACAAAAAAATTAGTTTAACAACCACACAAAAAAGGCTATAAATCGAAAGGGACGATCACCTGGACGGGAACAACGTGATATCCTCACTAACCTAGGAAACAACTCTGCAATGATTAAGCAGTATGTTAAAAAAGAGTGTCACAGCACGACGGGAGTGATGTGACATTTCGCACAAACAAGGGAAACCTAACCCTGCAATAATTACACAGTTGGTGAAATAAATAAGAATATTGAAAGGTTTCTTACCCTGACTACTGTTTTATTGCTAAGAGAAAAGCAAGCAAATTAAAGCTAAGAGATTTTTCGGCCATTATGCCTTCTCGTCACTTACAAACTTGTAACTCCCGTTATCAAATAGTAACGACGTTTACTATTAATTAACCTTGAATTAATAAATAAAATAAAACGAGGTAACTTTTAATTATTCCACCTTTATTGAACACAAAATCCCAATAAAGCCAACACCAAATACTGAATAAAGCCTTCCTTATTTTAAATTAAACTAAAATACTGAATTTATATGATAATAAACGAAATCAAATTAAACTAATTTTCAACTCCACAAAAGCAAATAAAATGAAACATATATTATAAATCAAAGGTACTCAATCCTGTGAATCCTGTAAAAAATCAATATTTAGGCTGCATTATACAGAGACGTTTAAAATACTTAAGAATAAGTAAACACAATTTTACAAACAAGAAAAATAACTGGTTCTAAAGCAACAAATCTCAAAATTTAGATGTAAAAATGAGCTAAGTGTGGGGATGAACTCTGTGCATAGTGGAGCAAACCATTGCTTAGGTCCAGGTTATACTGAACGGGCTAAATAAAAATTATAAAGATGAAGATATTTTCTTTTAGAAGTCCGTAATTGATAAAATTAAACAAATTTAGTGCATGGCAGCCCTTTGGCAGGTGATTAACATAAAATGAAAAGAAAAACTATTATGTTCTCATAAATTTTATTACAGTTTTCAGTGTTTAAGTGACTAAAATGTTTTGCCCTTATACATTCTAGATTTTGTAAACCAGCTGATGAAAACAAAAGGCAACAAAAAGTAGTGCAGATTTTGGAAAAATTGATATTATTAACTGTCGAAGAAGTTGAAATGTATCCTTCAATTCAGGCAAAAATTTGGGGATCAATTGGGCAGGTAAAAAGATTAAAAAATCTATATTCACATCTTATTCTTATAGAAAATATCTTCCTATAAAAAATGAATAAAACTTATTTTCAGGTCCCAGAGCTTATTGATATGGTACTCGATAGTTTTATAAAGAAATCGAGTGATGGTGGATTCGCTTCTCCTGTGGCGGAAATACTGGCTGATACTGCTGTAGCATTAGCTTCTGCCAATGTACAACTAGTGGCAAAGAAATTCATTGGGCGACTGTGTAGGGTAAGTTGATGGTATTTTAAAAATGTTCAAAATTGCAAGTGAATTAATAATGTATTTTAGGTTCTTGACAAAACATGTACATCGCCTACACCATTACTTGAAAACAACGTGCTATGGGATGACATTGCAATCCTTGCACGATATTTGTTGATGTTATCATTCAACAACTGTTTAGATGTTGCAAGACACCTTCCATACCTATTTCATGTCGTGACATTCCTTGTTTGCTCAGGATCAACCAGTATGCGTGCTTCAATGCATGGGTTGGTTATAAATATAATCCATTCCCTCTGTACTTGCACTAAACCAACCTTTACGGGTAATAAACAGAATAATTTGTTTTTCCTTGTCAAGTGTATTAACAAGTAAAATTATTTTTGTCAGAGGAAGCACAGCGAGTACTGAGATTAAGTTTAGACGAATTCTCACTACAAAAATTTTATCTACTCTTTGGTATAAGCAAAGTTAAATCTGCTGCTGTATCGGCATTCAGATCTAGCTATAGACACCCTAATGATGGAAGGTGAGAATAGTATTAAAAAGTCATAGGCATGGTTTATTGTATATGCTAAAATTATTAATAAAAAATGGCCATTTGACTTTTTTTAGGCTACAGTCCGAAAGATATTTGTTAGGGATGGTACCAGACAGGGAAAAAATTGCGTTAACATCCCTTGAAATAATAACTGACGCCCTTCTTGAAATTATGGAGGTTAATTATTTTTTTTAATATTTTTTTAAATCATTTGTTTAATATTTTATATTTTCATTCTAGGCTTGCATGAGAGATATTCCTGATTGTGAATGGTTGAACACATGGACTTCTCTAGCGAAAAACTTTGCATTCTTTCACAACCCTGCCCTTCAGCCGAGAGCTTTAATAGTATTTGGGTGTATATGTATGTTTAAATAAATCAGCACAAGTTTAAATAAATCACCACAAATCTTCTCAACCTTTAATTTTTCTATAATATTTTTTTTTTTTTAAGCAAAAAGCATAACTGATCAAGACATCAAACAACTATTAAGGATTCTAGTTAAAGCACTAGAAAATTTCAATGATACTGTTCTTCTTGAGGCTCTTGTTATGTGTCTAACGAGATTGCAGCCTTTGTTGAGACCGGTATGTTTGGTTTATTTTGTCAGTTGGTAAAAAGATTTTAATTATAAATTTTCACTGCATAGGAATCCCCAATCCATAAATTTTTATTCTGGGTCGGTGTATCAGTACTTCAATTGGATCAGCTTACGCTTTTTGCATCCGGCCTTGCATTACTTGAGCAAAATTTACATACTTTAGATTCTCAAGGGACGTTTGATGAAAAGGTTGGCTTTTAATAGAACAACAATGGGTTTTAGTTTGACAGTTAGACTTAACTATTTTTGTTTTTTCATTTAAGCCTCTAGAAGCTGTAATGATGGCAACTCGTGAACCCTTGGAGTGGCATTTTAAACAGCTCGACCATGCGGTTGGCTTGAGCTTCAAAGGTGCTTAATGCTTCAAAGCATCTTGAAAACGTGCAGTTTTTAATTTATTTATTAAATTACAGCGAACTTCCATTTTGCTTTGGTCGGTCATCTTTTGAAGGGTTTCAGACATCCCACACCTACTACGGTCTCACGAACAGCTAGAGTCCTCACATCACTGTTAGGTATCGTGGCTAAACCTCACAAAAGGGATAAATTTGAAGTTACACAAGACAGCGTAGCCTATTTAGCAGGTATTTAAAATATCTATATGCCTTGTTTTTATATAAAATGTGCATTGATATCATAAAACAATATTATAAAGAAAATAATCTTATTTTCTAAATATTTGTCTTATTAGCATTAGTTGCTGTTTCTGAAGAAGTCCGTAGTCGCTGTCATGTTAAACATACAACCGTCAGACCAGAAGCACATTTTAACATGGTAACACAGGTAATAAAATCCTTATAAGTATATATATATTTATTTATTTATTTCTAATAATTTGCTGTAAACAAAACTTCATCTAGTTTTATTTTTATAATTATGATGTCCAGTATAAATCAAATAAAAATATCATGTTAGTTGGGGTCTCTATCTGGTGAAAATCGAAGTGAATCATCTCTGCTGTCGAATCAACGTCAGAAGTCTTGGGATTTGATGGATCAGTCGATATCTATTCAGAATCGTGTTCACAAACAACAGTGTCAGGTAGGTTTTTCCCATTCCATTTTCACTTCATGTTATTTGTCATAAATTAAAACTTCTTCCATGTGTATGACATAAATATTCTTTTTTAAATGAACAAAATTTATATACAGAGGACTGAGGTAACAGGATACCTTATAGAAGATCATTATTAAGTACAAATGCAGATTTGATCATTTTAATGGTTTGGTTGTAATTACTCTTGAAATGTGGTCTCGTACTGAATTCAAATAAGTACTTACCATATTCTCCAAGATTAAACATTTAATATATATTAAAGTAAAAGAAAAATGAGAAGAAAGTGATACTAAGATGGTAAGTGAATCAATCAAAAATGTTGCATAATTTACTTTTCTGTTTATACCTCATGATTTTATTACGTTTTGATAAAATATTACTTGAGGTCATCATATTTATTAAGAATTGTTATTCTTTATTGGGTTATGATGAATTCAGCGTGTACTACTACAATTAAAAGGTTATATTTATATACTAGCATTTCTACCTCTTTTGAGCTGGGGTAGAATTGTTGAAGGGCTTTCTTGGTGTGGTCCAGGCTTTCATTGCGTGTGACACTTGGGCTTGCTGTTTTTCCTCAATGACATCCTTCCCTTATTCTGATGTTTCACAGAGTAATGTTTTGGTCCTCACATTTTACCAGGTGTACACAACTGATATCCCGTCCTGACTTTTGCAGAAGATATAACAATCCTCTCAGGTAGCTCTGATCCTTTCTTTTCCACTCTCACCTCAACTTTCAACAACACTACTGGAGTTCTGTTGTGAAAAGAAAATAATACATATTTATAGACTTGATGTTGCTCGGTTGCTCCATTAATTATATAAGATTGGTTTATTGCCATAAATCCTGTTCCATCCTGTTTTTATTTATTTGTATTCTAAATTATTTTTAGCCGTTAGTTAGACTTAACTCTTGTTAGTTTACAGACTTGGTTCAACATTAGCCACAGCATGGCTCAAAATGCATCTAGAATAAAAATAAGTGGAAAATGGCCTATTTCTTGAATAAACCAACCAAACCTACAAAAATATACAATTTAACACAGAAAAATCTGCCCATGTAACTATCTGCAAAAAGATCAAAATGTTTACTTCAAAAATTCTCGGACAAGGTGTGTACCTAGGTATCGACAATTGTCTGAAATGTTAAAGAACTCTCACTTCGAATAAACGTTCTCAACTTACTTCTCACAGATAGGTACCTGCTTTGTTACACCTTATCATGAGTACAATTAAAAATTACTACAATTAAAAAAATATATATTAACAAAAGGTTAGAAGTGGTTGGTCATCTGTTCATGTAGGTTGTAAGTCTAATCCTATCCAACCTAACCTTATCACTAGCTTTAACCCTACCCAACTTAGAGTACTTAACCTACTTAACCAAACACATATGAACTTCTCGGTAATGTACAATCGAAAGCAAAACTTTGGATATCTAGTCTCAAAACTTATCCATGTTAAAAAGTGTTTGAAGTACTTGGATAAAACAAATTTTATTTAATTTCATTAATTTGTACGTTATGAGAATAAATATGGATATGTAACCTTAACACTTGCTCTTCTAACCCTACAACCTAACCTAATCAAACATGCGCACTTACCATGTGTACCATTTTTGAGTTCTACCCTTCATCTTTTTTTAGGCTCAACTGTATTTGTCCCTGCAGCTAGTTAAAATACTGGCTTGTCCTGCCACAAGTTTATTACTGTCCCCTTTTTAACAAGACAGGCCTAGCTTTTAATTAAAGCTAGGGTAAACTTTGGTGCCTTGATGAAGTTTGCTTTTTATTGATGAAGATGATGATATATGTAGTTACTGAAATTCAGCGGCATCCTAATCATGCCTTCATATTCAAGATATTGGTTTTGACTTGCCATCTCCTTGCCGCCATTTCTCTACAGGCTTGTCATTCACCAACAAATTAATAACTATTTTTAGCATAGCTCTATCAATTTTGATGTCAGAATCTTCTCTTTTGTGGGGAAGAGAAACAAAATCTTTTCTCACCTACTTGAAAACCCATGAGACAAAATTAAAGGACAATCCATAAAATAAATAATGAAATTTTACCTTTGGCCAAGAATAATTAAAGAAAAGTAAAAAGCAAAGAAAAATGCAAGGTGTAGTAAAAACTGATTCAGAAAACCCATGCAGAAAAAAATATTAATTTTTAAATCCTCCATAAACTTGGCAATGTCATAATTTTTAACATTAAAAAATTTTAAATCAGGAATTAAACTAATTTTAACACACAAAAATTATTTTGACCATTAAAATTGAAGGATGAGCCAAAGAAAAAAATAAGGAAATTTATCTTTGTCCAAGAGTAATTAAATTAAAGTAAGAAATTGTAAAAAAAAGTATTACAAATATAATGGCAAGATTTTAGTAAAAACCGATTCAGAAAATTCTCACAGAATAAGGAACATCCAATTTTTAAATCAGAAGAGTTGTGTCGTTACAAAAGCCTACCTTGTATCAAATTTCACGGTTGCCAATTTTATGGTTAAAATAAAATTATAATATAAAAGGCTGATATCAATTATATTGAGATAATTTGAAATCAAAATTAAAGCTGGTAAAGTACCTAAACTCAATTCAATTGATTTTATTGTTAAGCACTGTTTTTCAGTGTATTTTAACCTACAAGTTAAATCATGTTATTTATTTAAGTTTAATAATATGATTTGTGAGTTTCTATGAACTTAAGATAATCAACTTAGTAAGTAAATAAATTTATTTCAATCAAAATCTAAGTAGTGCATTGTTAAAATAATAGGGTTTTATGGTAGTCAAATATTGTAACAACATCCAAAGACTAATGTATAGTGACGTAAATGTAAATAAAATGGTGTATGTAGGTAGGATCATCATCAATGGGTGCAAATGAGAGTAGTGCTCCCATTAATAGTAAAGGATGGCATAGTTTGGATCTTGGCTCACAGTTGCCCAATCTTCAAGCTTCAAGGGCAGCAAAATTCAGGACCCGATTTAAAAGGTCTTCATCTGTTCCATCTCCCAACAGTGGTTCTCCTCATGATTCTGCTAAAGTAAGCTTTGTAATTGTAAAAACATTAAAGGTTTTGCCGTATCAACAATGCATTTTATAAAGTTCCTCTACTTTTATTTCTTGCAGTCATTACATTAAAGTATAATTGTGACTGTTTCTTTCTTGTATTTGTTGCTGTCCTTTAATCCAAAATCTTATTGCTCTTTCTGTGATACTTTTCTTGTGTGTTTACAATTTTTGTTGTAGTTTTTACTGAATTGATCGTGGTCTTTGCTTGCTTCTACTGTGTTTATAATCCAATTGGTTGTTTGATTTTGCCTGCAGCTGTACACAATCATACTCTTCATCATTTTTCTCAATTACAATATTTAGCATGGTCATTCGTGGAACATAAACATCAAAATATAATCAAATTTGTTAAACACTGTAAACTTGTTACATTTCTTTCATTGCATAATCAATTTGAAACACTGCTTGCGTTTATTTTAAAGTTGCAAATTCTTCTAAAGCTTGCACAATAGCTTGCAAATGTTTAACTAGTGAGTTTTTGTTTATTTTTTAAACTACGACTTTTCAATTCAGTTGTGATGTAACTTAGTGGTTCAGATAAATGACAACGTGCATTGGGCATTTATTCTTGTGAGATTCTTCATTCTACATAAATTTATTCATACCATCAACCATTCAACACGAATCCTGCATGCAAAAAGCAAATGTTTTTGAACACTCAGATAAATATCACGTCTTTAAATAAGTCAGTAGCGTTTTTTGATGGCAAATTTAATGAAAATGCCAGGTACTTTAAACAATGTAGGAACTATTTAGTTCCACTACCTGTTCACCCCCATGCTCCACTGATTTATGGTGCACAAAAGACACATGTAGGGTGAGTGTCATCCTGGTGGAAAACAATCCTTTGCAATTAGCCAATGCCAGTCATTTTTAGTCAATTACTGACATTAAACTTTCCAATGTGTGCAGTACACTAGAATTTAAAATGGTCTGTCAGAAGAAGCTTGTAATAAAACATCAAATGCTTGACATTATCCTTATTGGGATGTAATCCAGCTTTTTGAGTTGTTAATAGTGGATTGCTGCATTTTCCCAGGATTTTCCTCCTTGATATTGTTGTGAAGAATCCACTTTTCATCCCCAGTTATCAATCTTTTTAAATATGGGTCATTTTCATTTCATTTAAGGAGGGAATCTCAGATGATGTTGTCTGATAAATTCTGCGCACTCAATATGTGAAGAACCCATATATCACTCTGACAAACATATACAGCTGCTCTGAGAAGCGTTGAAACGCTTGTTAAGTGGTGTTGTGACAAACTATGTCCCTCTCCCCAAGCAATGCGAAGACATTTAGTGTACATGCTTAATTACTTTCTGTGTGGAGGGAAGGTACAGTTCAAAAATACAGCAAATAGGAGAGATAATATTCATAAACATTTATTTTTACCCTTTTGGACTTTGTTAATATTGAAATAAAAAACAAACGAAGTCAGCCATAACTCTAACTCTGGAGATGTGCTTATTTATAAACAAAGCTACCGCAAATGACATGTGCTAACACCACTTCCACATCCTTCAGCGTTGTCTAATTTCTCAATTCTGAGACTGCGTCCCCGACTGAATCTCACTGATTGTGTCCTCAATTCTGGTCTCGCTGGCTGAGTTCTCTCATTGAGTACCTGACTCTCACTGACCTATTTTTGCTTTTCTGACCTATATTGATTTCCCAACAAGGGTGGAGAGAAGGAAAAGCAAAATTTGTTGGGCCTGATGGTCAACTCCCTTCTTGCAAGTTTTTTTTTTTTTTAAGCAATGGATACCAGGAACTGGAAGAGTTCCCCCTGAGCATTGCAGCTGTTCAGCTTATTGTACTTTATCCCTGGCTCCATTTTTGGGGGTTCGCAACACGAGTGTGAATTTGAGCCCCCGGTGTGCTGGTGTTCTTCCATCGAAGAAACTCATGTTTGAAGTGAGTTGGGACCAAATTCAGGGTCACTGTCAATTTCCTTCAATTGCAGCCACCGGTCCCTTTAGGCATCAGAAAAAAGTCCAGAGGCAACAGTGGGGATCGAACCCACAACCGTGGGATTTACTAACCGAGAGTCTGACGCCTTAACCACTCGGCTACCGTGCCCCCCCCCTTGCAAGGGTTAGTCAGTAACACCTCGTCATTCTAGGGAGCTTCCAGTACATAGCCCCCAGGGCCCTATGTCGATGGTCCTCCGGTGAATGGTGTAAAACTTTAGTTGACCCTCAACTAGTTGAGCCCTGTCCTCAGCATACAACAACTTTCCCTTAATAATTTATTCTTCTTTATTTTTATTATAGGGTGTTTGCTTGTTTCTACTCCCTCCAGGATTTTTTAAAATGTTCCTTTGTTCCATACTGTGTTGTTGAGCCTTATATTTACAGCCCCATAAAAAAGTACTTTCAAAATCCTTTGCTTATTATTTTAACAATTAATTTTAATTGAACTTATACTAAGAGGGAAACTAGCTTACACTTGTATGAGATATGTTAAGTTCTCTGCATTGTCTCATGTCATTGAGTGTGGGTTATTTATGACAAAATTTGGTCATCATCAACAGTTGGAGGACAACCAGAGCACTTTGTATCTTCCAATTTAAAATTTGCAAACCACTTATGGACAGTGTTTTCTTGTAAAACATCATCACCATGCACAAAGAAATGACGAATGTGCACTATTTTTGGCATCTGTTTTAAATTAGCAAACACCTGGAAAAAATATGAGATCTGGAACGAATAAAAATACGTTAAATACCTTTTCAGAATGTAAAGCAATAATTACTAAATAAACATTCCTTCAAAACACAAGATATAAGAAGGATAAAATCTAATTATTGAAAAACGCTACAAACTTATCTTATAAGACAATATATTGAGTTTATCAGAATCCCATAATATTTACATGATAAAAAATGAAAAATCAAACTATTACTTGTTGAGTTTTGCCTGAATTGACAATGTTATAAGAATTGAATAAATTTACGTAAATTCTACAATGCAGCAAGTTATACGTAAAGAATTGTATGAACAACACATCACTAAGTGCAATTGTGTAGTGCTGCCTCAATCAAATTTTACTTTTAATTGCATATCATCAGTACCTTATTTTTCAATGATTCATTGAAATAAAAATTACTCGCATTTAATTCTTTAGTATTGATAAAATGTACACATCTTCATGTTTTACTTTTTTATTTTAATAAAGAAAAAATCTGATTAATTTGTTGTTGTTTTTTATTGTTTGTAGTACATGTGCTTTTTTAATATAATTTTAGTGCAACATAAATTGTCATAATAATTGCTGAAACAATTTACAATTTTAGCCAGTACTCAGATTACTCTGTCAGACCATTTAACAAACATTTCTATTCTACCATACATACCATACATTTCTATTTTCTAGTCTACCTTGCTATTCAGTATTACTAGTATATTTTTTTTAATGTTGAGTTTACGTAAAATAACAAAATAAAAATTTTAAAATGTGCCAAGTAATTTGCCAGTTCATATGTAAAAAATCAAGGATAATCCATACACTGTAATTTCCACTTTTCTCTTCTTTTGAAATGTTGTGTTATAAACTATTAAATGGGTCAGGAACTTTTTTTAAAGACAACAATTACATTTGATTTGTCTTTAGATATGCTTTAATGAACTTTCCATGTCATTTCTTTGCAGAATCGGAGCGCACGTGTATCAGTTTCAAATGAAAATAACGTGCTGCTTGATCCAGAAGTCTTAACAGATCCAAGTGTCCAAGCACTTGTGTTGACAGTACTTGCAACACTTGTCAAGTATGCCACTGACGAAATGGAAATTAGAATTCTCTACCAGTACCTTGCAGAAGCTTCAGTTGTCTTTTCAAAAGTGTTTCCTGTGATGTAAGCAAGTTTTTATACTCCATTACCTTTTAGTACATTATTACTTGCATTAGCTTAAAGTTATAATGCAACATAAAATACCCCAAACAACTATAGAACCCATAAATAATACTCTGACGCTTCTTTATTATAAACAAAGCTGATTCAGTTGTGCAATCATAATTTCTTGATTTACATATTTTTATTAATGTTTAACCTTGTTTGCAAATATAAATTTAATTTTAACATGGTATGTGGGTATGCTGAATACACAAGTCCCACAACCACAAGTTGAGTTAGGTTAGATAATGTGTTAGGGATGGATTAGTATTACAGTTAGTACTAGGGATGAGTTGGTTTATATATCCATGATTCAATACTGAGAACAAATATTTCTCTTTGTTGTATTAGGGACAGATTATGTTAGATAAGGTTAGGGTTAGTGTTAGGAATGGGTTAGTGTTAGGATTTGTGCTAGGGACAAGTTAAGTTATACATCCATGATTCAGTGCTGAATACCTCCTGAAACTGAATTCAGAACCTCCTGAAGTATTGAAATCTGTTCACGGTGGACCCTGTATCCTAACCCATCCCTTACACTAACCCTAACCCTAACCCTTATCTATCCTAACCTTATCTAACTTGTTCCTAATCCTAGGATGAGAACTACTTGTTCTCAACATTGAATCATGAATAATCTAATTCATCCCTAACACTAGCTCTAACCCTAAGTTCGCAGGACATCCTGTATATTTAAGATTCAATTTTTTTTCCGTGACTTTTAAACAACAATAAATTGTACTTTCATGTGTATAAAATCTACCATTATCTAGATAAAGAATTATTAAACATTGTGTTTTTTTATCAAATGATAAGATAATTTATACTGAAGAAATAATACAGTAAAAAAGTATTAGTTTGTTTCTTTATGGACCTACAAACATTGCTGGCACTTTACACATAAGATTTTTCTGTGCCATTTGAGCATTTTGTTTTTCTTGTTTTAACTCACTGACTCTCTGCTGTGATTTTCTATTGTCCCAATGCCTTAAGTTCTCATTGGTACCTCAGGATGTGAAAGGTACAGTGGACTATCTGTTGGCTGTCGTGGACAAAGGGTTAAACCACTTTAAAACGACTTTTACATATATTATATAAAAAATATCCACCAGTTGTGGATTTCCAGAAACTGGAGTTCCCCCTGAGCACTGGAGTTCCCCCTGAGCACTGCAGCTCTATTGAGCATTGTATTTCTAACCAACTTATAACTAATAATAAAATCATTATTAACAACTAATTTCTCTTCAATTTAGCCACTCATTGTTGGACGGAAAATTGACTAGTTTGCTCTCTACATGCCATGACCAAGTTCTTCTCAATTCAGTGCAAAGTATTATTCAAAACATGATTGCTTGTGAAGAAACAAGCTTGCAACAATTACATTACTTGCAATCTTGGGGGTTTGGAGGCCTTTGGAGATTTGCTGGACCATTTACAAAAGTAATTTAATATAATTGTCTGTCTTTGTTTCAAAGTTTACAATTGAGCCATTTCTAAAACTTTGCAGAGCGTATGCACTGCTGAAAGTGCAGAGCATTTCGTCAATTGCCTAGAAGCCATGGTGGAAATGTGCATGCCAATGGAAGAAGGGGAATTAGATATAGCACAGTATCCATCTATGTTAAGCGTATCTTCCAACATGAATCTTTCATCTTCTTTATCCAGCTTAACATTAGGCTCTCCAACTGATAAAGGTATGTTTAATATATGTAATATGTACAATGTAAATTCAATGCATGTAGTACTTACAATAACTATGAGTTGTTATAAGTCATTAAAAATAAGTTGTTAAGTGAATTGTTAAAACCTAAATACTTTTTACTACTACTCAGCACTACAACCGTTGACGGGCCCTGTCTCCTCCTATCTATACCTGCTGGCCCAGACTCTTCTGTCCTCTATGCTTCTCCTTCCAATCTGCATCTTTCTGAGGTAATCCTCAACATCTCCTAACCATTCTTTATAGGCCTTCCTCATAGCTGTGGTAGACCAGGCTTACCTAAGAAAACTTTCTTTACAGTCCTGTTCTTTGGCATCCTTTCCATGTAGTCAATCCACCTGAGGCTGTCACTTTTATTACAGCCACAATATCAGGTTTCTGGTACAAAAATTTAAACTCCCTGTTTGAACGAATTGGCTAGTGACCATACACACTGCACCAAAGATCTTCCAGAGCACTTTTCTTTCAAAGCACCTCAATAAATCTTCATCCACTCACATCGTGATCCACGTTTCAGGGTATGCTCTTTCAGAGCCATAAAATACCATTGGCCTCACTTTATGTAATGTTTACTTATTGTACAAATTAAAACCTCAATGACAATTACAGGTTTTTGAATGAATAAGCTTTGTTACATTAGAACAATTTAAAATGACACCTGTATGAGTAATTTATGTTACAAATAATTAAAGATTTGTGGTTTAATCCTTATAAGAAAATGTTTCCTGATAATATCTCTTTTACCAAATATGCAATGTTTTATATATTTACATTTTTTTACTTTTATATTTACTTTTACATTTTTTTAATAGATTCGTTGTTGGATGGAGATGGGTCAATTTCAAGAGGGACGTTCAATAAATGTCGTCCTCCGGGTAAAAAAATGTCAGGTGAATGAGATTCACTAAGGCTCCTCAAACTGAACCTTAGCTGGTTGTGAGGAGCTGACAAAAATTTCGGCAAATTACGCCTATGCAGGTATGACTATCAGAATAAATATTTTTGAATAAATGAGGATAAAATATATTGTATAAATGCACAAAACCTGATATGGCTGTTATTGTACTGTTGACCAGCATTTATGTATTAATTTATTTGTATTTTCACAATATTTATTTTATATATTTATATAGTTTTTATAAAAATATAACTTATTTAAACATATTTTGTGAATAAAAATTAAATTTACTAATATATTTAAAAAATTGGCCTTTAACTATTTTAAAAATATATTATTAACGTTATTTTACATTGTTTCTGCCCTTATAGACATTGTTATTAATACTCACTCCAAAGAATTATGATTTTTTTTTTTTTACAAATGTATATTATTTTTTACTTTTGTTGTTAGTATTTATTCGTTCATTGTGTTCACAATATTTATTATTTGAGAATGAAACTTTCAGTTTTGTGAGAGATGACTCCTATAAACAAGAAAATATAGGAGCAATATAACAAATTCATAAGTTAGGTGAAACTAGAGTTCACTACATTCCCGTAAAAAAAAAAAAATTAAAATATTTAATAAGTGTCTACCTTTTAAGGTAAGACAGTTTTAACGCTTTCTTCAATACAATGAAAATAAGTATTTTTACGATGTCACGTAGAGAAATAAATTTACATTAGGACTTTAATTATAAATTTAGCATAGGGTAAATAATATTTCATCCTTGGTGATGATTTACATTAAAATAATATTGAGGTTAACTATCAATGTGGGCTATTTACAATCTCTTATCTTATGTATTTTTTCTTCTTTTGAAAAACAAATAATTTTTGAATAATTATTAGCAGGTTCAATTGAGTGACTCTTGATCTAATGGAGGAATGAAAAAATACACAATGATATATGAACACCACCTTTTGAATAAATGAATAAGTTGAAACAAGATTTATTCATAAGAATATAAATATGTATTTAAAAAAAAAATATAACGACAATAATGAAAAATAAAATTGTACACAAAAAAGATTTAACCTTCAAACAGTCGCACAGGGTAGAAAGTTAACCTAGCCCTTTTTTTTAATTATTTATATTTCTTTAAGTTTATTGTTATCAAACTGTATAAGGGCCAGATGGTATAAACATTTTTTTTATTTACTAATAACAACAATTTTATCACAGAATTTGTATTAAAAACTATAAATTTTAAAATTAATGATATATAAGTTTTACAACAATTTCACAAAACTGGGGGACCACAGTAGCTGAGTGGTCAGCTTGCTACACTCTCAACTCGTACACCACACAGTCGTGTGTTCAATTCCCACCATAATTGTATACTTTTTTCATGCTCCCCTTCCCCCCTCAAAAAAATACCCATACCATCAATCTCCTCTCTCCCTGGCTACTATGAAAGCCATTTTAAAAATCACAAAAATAGGAAGATAAATATTATATATATATATATATATATATATATATATATATACACCCCAACAAATTGCTCAGGTCATCATTGGCCCTTTGCCTATTTGTACTTCTTTTCCTGATCTTTCATGCATTTTTTCAACCTGCAGCCATTTGAGCGTCTCGTTCTGTTACTGACTCTCTGCTTTTATATGACAATTAAGTCGATATCTACAAATAACCTCTCATTTGTACCTCAGGTTCTCATCTACAGAATAGACACAAAATATACAATACATATATACATACCATCACCCGATACAAGCATAGAAGCCTCGTGTGACATTCACTCCCCTCAAAATTCCTTGAAGCGAGGTTAAACCCCGAATTTTTTAACTAGAACTGAAAAACTAGATTTTAAGAGGTAGATTTGAAGCATGACGTGGGCCAGCATAAGGTAGAGCTACTTTGTATTTCCATTTTTGTAGTTTAGAAGGTTTTTGCACTACACAATGCAGGAAGATCTTTATCTTGATACCATACTCAGTCGGTTTACTTTATTAGGTTAATCAGTGAGTATACTCACGTCATAAAAATTATAGGAAAAATTAATCAAAAATGTCACAAATTGCTGCTATTTTTCCCTTTTCTTTTGATGTGACTTCAAATCGTATATGACATCTGAAGAGAAACTTCCTATTGCTCAAGGCAGTACGCGAAAATTCCTGTACAGACAGAACTGGACAAATCTGAAACATTTAGCTGTCCATACAAAATTCCTATTAGAAATATACAGACGAATATAACAAGCTGAAGAGTATTTCACAGTAAACTTCTCCCTGAATTAGAAAATAATTTGAATAGTAAAATAAGAAGTCCAAGAAAACGTAGAAGGTATAAATAGTTGACAGAGAAAAAAGTATTAGAATAAACGGTTTAAAAAAAAAAAAAAAAAAAAAAAAAAAAACTTAAAAGTCATGAGGGGTAGTGGGTTTTCCTTTTTGAGTGATGATTGTGCCTGAACACTAGAAAACATTATTTTTAGAATAGAACAAAGCTAGGGGGTTCAGTTTTGCAAGATTGTGTTTGCAAAACTATCCCAATGTGACTGTTCCAAGGTTAACAATTTAAAAAAATTCCTTTATAAATAATATTAATTTATTAATAGCAATAAAAAAACTAAGTATCTTGGTATTCAGTCTATCTTAAGTACAAATATTTTACACAACTATATTTTGAATGTATTTTGATCATGATTAAAATTGTAATGTTAGTTAAAAACTTAAAAAAGGGTAAATTGATCAAGTAACAACTGCCTGCAAGCATACCAATACCAAAGGCCAATATTGCCTTTTATTGTAGTTGTATTTAATTGTTCTTATTAGTTTAAAAAAAACCTCATTAGATCATAAATATTTATGGTGTTTATTGTTGATTCCTCCACAAATATGGAGGATTTAATACCGTAGTACAATAAGTAAAACTGTTGTGATTAGCATTTTTAATTTTTAATATATATATATTTTTTTTAAATTTAGGTTGAAAAGACATAAGAAACACAAAATGATGGTACTTTAATAGTATCAGCTTCTTTATGATTGTATATTTAATTGTACATTTTAAAAAGAAAACCATTGGTATATTTGGATACCATGAAGCAAACAAATTTTGGCACACTTGAAAAATTGAATTTTGGTCGGCTTGAATTTGTTGAAGCATGACGGCCATTTCTTATCAGTACAGAATTACTAACAGAACATATATACTGCATAGAAATTATGAATGATGGAGTGAGTACGGTGTTCAATCCTTTTTAAAAAGATGTTCCTACTCACAGTAAGTTTTTTTTTGCAACGACCGGATTTCGAGCCCTTAGCTAATCATCAGGTTGAAGGATTTCTACAACCTGATGATGAGCTAAGGGCTCGAAATCCGGATCGTTACAAAACAACTTACTGTGAGTAGGAACTATCTTTTTAAAAAGGATTATATATACTGCATGTTGTCATAAATTCTAAGTAAAGAAACTAAAAAAGTTTCATAATTCTGTATGATAAAAATATGTTATGAAATTTTAAAGATCAGTTACGCTTCGTTTAACATTGTAAAAGTGATATTTTAAAGTTTGTATAACAAGTGCTCTTTTTTTCCTTTTTCCAGCTTACTGCTTAGTATTATTGGAAAAGAGTTTAATAATTATTTATCTTTTAAAGACTTGTTGTTTTTTAACTGTTGACTTATGTTTAAATTTATTAAAGCCACTCTCACCTAGTACAAATTTATTTTATCATGTTTAAGTGTTAATAAGGAATAAAATATTTTATTATTATTACCCTTACTTACAATGGCAATTTTAGTCCTAAGAAATGACTTTTTCCTCAAACTCTGAAGATTTACATCCTATCGATGTAATTACTTTAGTTTAAAGTATTTTATTTGCTTGCATTAAAATTTCAATTGTAAATTTTGTAAGTGTGAAAATCATATTTAGCAGATGAATTTAAGGCGCACATCCTTCCGTGGATAACAAGTGAGGCACTTATGGATCTCCTGCACTTACATTTTCACAATTGTTGTCCTTAAATAAAATAAGACCATGTTGAAATTTACATTAAAATTATCAGTATTATTTTTTTTTACTAATTTATATCATATAGTCAAAGACAAAAAAAATTATATTTTATTGTTTATTTCAAACTGTATTTATTTTTATCATTATATTAATTATAACATACTTTTTTTAATGTAAACCAAAATAAACAAGAGCAGAAAATTCATGAGGTAATAAATAGGTTAATAATAAAGTTTGAACTAGTTCTTTCAGAGAGGTATGAATTGTTGATGTGTAATTTTTCATTGACATTCCGTTTATCAGCAAAAATTATTTCGCAGGATTTCACTGCACAGTCTGCCAGTTGATGAATTTCTAATCATTTTGGCCTGCCTATCCTTGCTGTGTTGATATGTCATTCACCAAAATGATGAGCGACAATCAAATTTCATTATTTTGTTATATTAGGACCAACTTTGGCATAACCATAAAAATTGACAGTTGTAAGCAAATTAAACAAGATCGAGTTTGAATAAAAATTGTTTCATTATGATAGTTTGAAAGGAAATTAGCCAAAACACCGGAAATTCTTTAGGTTATAAATAGGTTAATAAAAAAGTGTTCACTTTTTCTTACAGAGGTGTATGAAGTACTGATTTATGGATTTTTTTTTTTTGTTTGACATTCTGTTCATCAGCAAAAATTATTTCACGGGATTTCTATGCATGGTCTGCTAGTTAATGGATTGGTAATTTGTTCATTACTGGTCATTTTGGCCTGCCTTGCTGCGTTGATATATCATTGACAAAAATGATCAGCAACAACCATATTTAATTATTGTGTTATATCAGGACCAAACTTGTCATAATTACAGGAATTATTTAAAAATTATTAAAATTATTTAATTATGATGGTTTGAAAAAAAAAATTCACCCAAACACCAGATAATCATTTAGCGGATAGAATAAATTGGTTTAGTTAAATTTTAATCTATCACTAAATGATTTGCCGGTGTTTTGTTGAATTTTCTTTTAAACCATCATAATTAATTTTTTTATCATGTTTTTTTTCTGAGTGTATATAATAAAAGTACAAAAATCAATAAAGCATTCAGTGGTAGTCACCGTTTTACAGGGTTTATATGTGTGATTTTTTATTGTTATTATATTATTACCTATTAAATATATAGGTTTCATCAAGTGACTTGAAAAAAGATGAGTTTGCCTTCAATAATAGAACGCACAAAATGTTAGATTAGCATATTTTTTTTCAGACAAATTTTAATGTATGAATTACTTTGTTTAAGTATAATTAACAGTTTTCAAGCTTGTAGTTTACACTGTACAGAAAATACCTTTATTCATTTTGAAAATCTCTTGGAAAGTGACAAAATATAATTGTTGAGTTAGAGCTTTTAAAAAAAATCAAAAATCAAACCAAAGATGGAAATTTACATTTTACTTATTGAACATTTTTCCCAATAATAGTTGTATAATAATAAATACCAATGTTTGTTTTTACGAATAAAAAATTTGCTTATGATTGTGTTCATGGATATAGAAATGACTTTTTCTCAGTTTATTTTATTCTAATTCCATGTTATAAAAATGAATTATATATGTTGTTCACATTTTAAATGTTAGCTTTTACAATTTTAATATTTATTGTTTGACTTAAATTATTGTTAGTTGAAATTAGTGATGTATCAAATTAAATTTAAATTTGTTATATGTGCTCGTTAATAGCTGATTATCATTTTTTGTTAAATTAATAAAATTATTGACTTTTTATTGTTCTATGTAAAATGGGACAATCTTGAGTTTCTGATAAAGTTTTATTTTAACATAAACTAGCCATGTATTTCAGTATTTCCCCGACTGAGGGAGGCGTTTTGCATTAGTGTATACATAGAAACACTAAAACATGTGACAAAGAAATAATGAATTTTTGCTTTATGTTACAAATAGGCTATTAGTAAAGTTTGAAATTTTTCTTACAGCGATGAATTACAAAAATAAAAGACCTTGGAAGAGAACTCTTGTGATAATATCAGCTGTAATAAATTGTCTTCTATAATCCTTTAGCAATTAAGTCTTTTCATTGTAAGAGACAAATTCAAACACACTATCTGTTTTTCTTTATAAGATCTGTGGGGTGATGAATATTATCTTGCCTGCGTATCCTCGCCAGTTTGGTCTGTCAGACGCATTCGTCTATTCAAATTCCTTAATGTTAACAAAAAAATGTTCATGTTTGTTATTTCAGATTAACACCTTGTATAATGTGACACACTGAAGATGCCGAAATGCTGAAACAAATTTGACAAACAGTGAGGATAGGCAGACCAAAATATTCTGTAATGACCAAACTGTTTTCTCTATTTTTTTCAGATTTATTGCATTATAATCTGTTGAGATAGTCATAGTTTAAATTTGCAGAAATCATGATTACTCAGGTGGTTAAATTAGCCAGCCTTGTTTTCTTTGATCTTTAAATAGAAATGATATATTACGTTTATCATTTATGTTCAATCAAATTGGAACTTATTTAAATTAGCACACAAATTTAATAATGAGTTTAGTGGTTGTTGTTTTTTGTTACATTGAGTCAAGACATTTCACTTCTTGATAATTCTTACAATAATTAATTACATCTAGTTTGGTCATGATTATCACTGAATTGCCTCAATGATATTACACAGTTGTTGCACAATTGATATACAAAACCAGGCTTTTCAATAAATAAAAATCCAGCAAATGTTGCACTAAAGAAAAAATTAAACAACAAAATCTAAGATTTATTTATTTTAATAAAAATTTTAAAATTTCTTTCCTCCTGTATGACCTATATGGATCTATTTTGGAAATTGCACTTTTCCCTATAAGACAGCACATTGGTGCCTCTTCATGCACCTCTTTTGGTGTAAGAATTGCTTTACCGAACTGGTTGTACCATGAACTTCAAATTCATGAAGGATTTATGCGGATGGCTCTGGTTTCTTCTGACAGTCGGCATATTTCTGTCTCTGCTTTACCCATCTTTTTTATGTGGTAGTTAAAAGGCCAGTACAGAGGCCTATAATTTTCCTCAAATCCCGCCTGCTGAGAGAGAGAGAGAGAGAGAGAGAGAGAGAGAGAGAGAGAGAGAGAGAGAGAGAAAGAGAGAGAGGAGTTCCTTCACCTTCCTTTTAGAGAGATTTATAAATCCTACTTGGTCATACAGAATTTTTCTTTCTCGAATCATTTCTTCATTTTCAACTTAGGCACATAAGTGCACTTAGTTGTGGTTCTGGCCTCATGAGGGCTACCCTTTTTTTTTGGCTAGGTCAACCTGTTCATTTCCTCCTATACCTTCAAGTCCCAGAACTCACTTCAAAGTAATCTTGTGTTTTCCTAAAACCATTTGGCAATTTAGAT